CAAATCACAGTTCAACAATTACTTCATCAATGTCATCAAGAACTTTGGAGGACATCTTTTCATGAATTGCGAGGCTGGTTCGTTGTATCCTCACAGAGAAAGACTCGACGAGGTTGACTTTAAAACTTGCTTCAATGACTATCATGACTTGATGGTGGCAGCTCGCCTTGGAAAGGATGGCTATATCAAGCAAATTGCTGGATATCACACAGATGACAACGACACACGAGTTCGACAAGTCTCATGGGCAATCTTTGAAGTATCTTGGGGAAAGACAAAGGATCGAGATACAGATGAGATTGTTGACTTGACAAGAGCTAGGATGAGAATGACACGTGTGTGCGTTTATCACGTCGGACAGAAGTATGCATCAGACTCTGCTGGGATTGTTGGTGAGAGCTTAGCTGTTATGGCTTTTGAGTGTGCCAGATATCAAGTTGACTTCATCGCAGGTGATGGAAACAAGGCATGCTATTACAGCACACCAAAATCTCCAGGTGTCCCTACATATCAACACAGCCTTATCCAATTCTGGATTAACAGAATGGTAGGTGTTGCAACACAAGCCATGCGCAAGAATTTTGATCCAACTTGCCCTCCAATCAGGGTCAAGCATTTCATTTCTTGCAGTTATCGTGACTTGGATTTTCTTGCAACGCACTTGGATGGCATTACAACAGCAACATACACCGACGAGCTCATGAACAAGACAAATGGTAAAGGTGATTGTTGTATGTTAACAGTTGTTGAGTGGGGTCATTCACGTTTGATGTGTGAGGAACACCAAGAAGACTTTGAGGATGAAGATCACATGAACTATGTGGGTGAATTTTACTTCAAGGTAAATGAAACTTGCTTACATGGTGATCACAACATCTTCATGGTTGCTCCAAATGATCGCGATGCTCATAATCCAATTCTTATCCATCTTGATCCTTCTGATATGTCATGGAATGAACGACATCATTACAAACAGGCCTACAAGAAGAAGCAGTATGCTGATTCAAGAAAGGAAAGACAGAAGGAGAAAAAGAGAAAGGCATATGAAGATCAAGCATCGACGTATCAGGGCAACACAGAGTGGGGTGGATCCTCATCTTCAGCGTCCAGACCATGGAGATCAAGTGAGTGGCGATGAGTGAGTGTACACTTCTTTAATTGAAGATAACACAGCATGAGAAGCCGTGTACAGTTTTTCTGTGCGTTCAACTTATTTCACACAGATGGCATATACTCTTTTAGATAGAGATAATGCCACAAGTGTCTGAACTTCAATTTAATGTAAAATAGAGACTCTTGTAAATAGAGATACTATATACATTTATCTCCATGAATCATCCGGCGAGCAGACCACTCCGAATGGAGCGAACTTCAAAAATTTACCAACTTCGATTTCAGTCCATTGTTTGCTTGAATGAGCAACTTTGGAGATCCGCTATTTCCGTTTATTTCGTGATTTGGTCAATTGTTTTCGTATGACCTGAATTTCTGAATCTTGCGAACCCGAACTTTTCAATTCGAACTTTCACCGGTAGAGCGAGGCATTTTGCCTGTGGAGAGACCGTGCGCGAAGCACCATTGGTCACTACTGGAAAAATTAGCGAATCCGCTGTTCTTTTTCGACATGTCCTTAGGACATTCGCTGCTTTCACGTGTTTTTCAATTCGAAGCCACTGCGTAACTCCGGTTTCTTTTGCTATTTGCCATTGTGTAGAGAAGTCAGGAAGATACTCTTAATACCAATTGGGTACGGCAAGGCGTAGTGCTCTACTCATTGCTTTTGAATTTGTGCCTGTGTTTTTGTTTCGACCTAATACCTACATAGGTACATGCATGAGTATTGAGCACATTTATATGCGCCTTCAAGGCTCAAGAAAGAGGTATATAGAGTAACCCTGTAGACAAGCACTGACCGGCAACAGGCTGAGAGTAAAAGAGTGCTGTCATTGGGGAAGACGCCTTAGCTGATCTTGAAGTAGACGCTAGGGCCCCTCTTCAGCCCTCCCCCCCAATCCCCCGCTCCCGTTTTTTTTTAATTATTTAAATTCAAAACTTGCACACTTTTCAATTACTAGTTTGATTCTTTTATATTAATATTTATGTTTATATATATATATATATCTAGACATATATATACATAGACACATATATATATATATATCTAATGTATGTATGTATGTATGTATGTATGTATGTATATCTTTGCATTTATATATACACTTACATATATATATTTATGTACTTATATAAATGTATATATATAAATACATATGAATATGTATATACATATCAATGTGTATATATTTATATAATTATGTCTCTATCAGTATATATATATATGTTTATTTAGAAATACACATACATATTTACTTATAGATAGATAGACGTATATATATATGACATATTTGTGGTTGTTTTTATACACAGCTTTGATCCCAAAATATACTACAAATAATCACGTAATTATACCTACATGTTGTATCCCTAAACCCTAAACCAAACCCTGCATATACATACATGCATACATACATACCTACCTACATACATACATAGATAGATAGATAGATATATATATATATACATATGTATATAGATTGATTGATTGATTGATTGAAGAAAACCATAGAAAACTTGCAGAAAACCATGGAAAATTGAAGAACACCGGGGAAACATTGAAGAAAACAATGGAAAAATTGAAGAAAACCATGGAACAATTGAAGAAAACCAGGAAACATTGAAGAAGACCATGAAAAAATTGAAGAAAAACATGGAAAAATGGAAGAAAACCATGGAACAATTGAAGAAAACCAGGGAAACATTGAAGAAAACCATGGAAAAATTGGAGAGGCACGAAACCCAAGAAAGGAAGGGGGGAAGGAAGGAGGAAGGAAGGAAAAAAGGAAGGAAGGAGGATATGAGATAACGAAAAGCAAGGAAGGAAAGAAGCAAAGACAAAGAAGAACGCTGCTTCGAAGAAGATACCAAAGAATAATAGGAAAAAGGAAGAATGGCAGCAGGAAGAAGCAGATCGAGAAGGAAGAACGAAGGAAAAAGGAAAAACTTAACAGAAAGGAAGAGAAAGAATAACGATGAGATCTGCCTCGTCTGGTGCTTGCTGTTGGCTCCAGTGGGGAAAAAAATCGCGGGCTTGCTTCTAACGTGCCTGCTGTAAATCCATGACCATGCTGCATCTGCCCGAAGACTAGAGTTCTCATGTCCGGAACGATGAAACAGTTTGTTCTCATAGGCGCATTGTTGCAGCTTACGGTCAAACTTGAGATTCATCAAATCAGACGCATGGCTGATCGAAGCTCAGAAAAAAAATAATACATTAACTAACTTGAGACTCGGTCTTTTATTCGAGATCCCGCCGTCCCCAGTTTCAAGAGAGGTTGTGACATGCCTAGCCACGAAGTGTCTTTTTCATCTGACTTTCACACTTTCTCTGATATCCGACCTTCCATCTCCAGACATGCTGTCGCGTCGCATGTATGAGCATCGCGTTATGGAGCAGCTTGCTTGCTGGGACTCGACCCTTTATTCGGTATCTGTTGGGATCTCAAGAGAGTTCTCCAGACGTGTGATCGCCTCGCATGTATGAGCATTGCGTTATGGAGCACCTTGCTGGGACTCTCCCTCTGAGTCGGTATCCCAAGAGTAGTTGTGATTTAATATGCGCTGGTATCTGTTGGGATCTCAAGAGAGTTCTCCAGACGTGTGATCGCCTCGCATGTATGAGCATTGCGTTATGGAGCACCTTAATGGGACTCTTCGTCTGAGTCGGTATCCCAAGAGTAGTTGTGATTTAATATGCATTGGTATCTGTTGTCTGCTGACAGTCGACCTTTTCTTCGACATCTGACCCTCCCTCCCCTGTCTCCAGACACGTACGAGTCACTTGTATTAGCATACCTCGGAATTTTCTTGTTTGATACGGACCACCTGGATATTGCGGACAGATCGGCAATCGACATCTGACCCTCCCTCCCCTGTCTCCAGACACGTACGAGTCTCACTTGTATTAGCATACCTCGGAATTTATTTTTTTTGATGCAATTTTTATTTTTTTTTGATGCGTGTACCACGTTGAAATCTTGGACAGTTCCATAGAAGTCCAGGGGAATATTTTTTTTGATGCAAATCAATTTTTATTTTGATACTTATGGGGATATTTTTTTTTTGATGCGTTTTTATTTTTTTTTGATCCTTCACCCACAGGCTGTGCCATTGTGATTCTTCTTCCCTGATGTGACTTTCCACTACCTGATGTGACTTCTCCGTATCGCCGCCGTGCCATGGGGATGATGTGACTTTTCCCGCCTGATGTGACTTAAGTACGGTGCTCGTAGTTTATATTTGTAGCATTGGCTGTCTCACGCAGTTCCTGTGCTCAAGTCCCACCTAGTGTTTCGATCTGCAGTTTCATTGAAAAACATGAAAAAACAGACAGATGTAGGAAACCCAAATTGTAAGGTGACAACTTTTGTTTACTGCATTGTTCCCTTACTGTAAACCAATCCAACGTTTGTAGTTCTTCAGTTGCTAGTGATGCCAATTGATGTCCCAATTCATGAGTAAATTCACAACAGTCGAAGGATGGATGAGGTTCATAAATCCGCAAAATTCGCAAACGTGGAGGATGTAACCAACCCAAAAAGGGAAGATGCCCGTATGTAAATGTAAAGAAAGCTGACAAACAATTTTCGGACTTCCATAGGGAGAGGCCATGAGCCTGGAAGTAGTTGGAACCTGGGATCTTTGAGCAGCCACAGTGATGGCCTTCTCCTTCAAGCCACTGATGCTTGCACATTGCAAACAAAAAAAAGAGGACATGGATCACTGGTTGGTTTTTCCATATATTGGGAATGTCATCATCCCAACTGACGAAGTCCATCATTTTTCAGAGGGGTAGGCTCAACCACCAACCAGATCATGGATTTGTTATTTGTTGATGGTGTTTGTTTTTTGGGGGGCCGAGAAATTGCCATTTCCAAAGTCAGGAGGGATGGCTGCGGCCCCCTGGCACTGCAGAACGACTTCCAGGGGCAGCACCGAGACGAAGTCAGCGGGCAGGCGCCACCTTCGCGCCGCAAAGTGCTTGGCATCGGAGATTCCTGTCCATTGTTCTCCTAGCTATTGAAAATGGCCATTGATAGTTGATTTACCTATTAAAAGTGCTTGTACATGGCCATTTACAGTTGACGTACTTATTCACTGTGAAATGATTGAACATGGCCCTTTATAGTCGATTTACTTATCAAACTCGTGATTTCCCAGTTCGCAAACTGTTAATATCTGTTAATTTACCAGGGTACACCGATGTACACCGTTGTGTGATAGCCAAGCTGGATGATAGATGTGTTTTTGTGTGGGTTTTTCCAGGCACCCACCAGCAACTTAAGCTTCTCAAGTGACTAGGAGAAATCCAGGAAAATATCAGCCTGACTGGATAATCATCCCACTTCGCAAGTGGGGTCAAATTTTAAGACATACCCCAACGGTTGGAAAAAGACACCGCGGCGATTATATATTATCCTATACGGATGTAAGCATATATTCTATTATATCAGTTGTAAATAGTCACATATATATATATACATAAGAGTGTGTGTGTGTGTGCACGCGCTTATGTGTGTAGTTGTTTCTAAACATATGGGGTCATGGCCAATGGGATCCTCCAGGTGGTTTCGCAGCGGCGGCTCTGTGCGCCCTGGCCCTGCCACAGCGCCGGCTTCGGCGCACGGCACGTGGCGCCGTGGACGCCATGGACGCCATGGACGCTGGTGGCGTGCCACGGCGAGTGGCACTAGGTGTGGGGATGGCGCTTACATTGATGCAGAATGCAGAAGGTCATATATTTTAGATGTTCATCCATTCAAAATATATAATTGTATATGTAAATATGAATATATCAAAAACTGTCAAGATATGTCAAGATATTTTGTCCTATTTTGAGTTTATGATTGTTTATGTCAACCCTTCTTAATAGATGTTGTTTTTTTCAGATAGTCAGATAGTGTTCCCGCTGGGTCTTGCAGGTTTGACGTTCCTAGTTGGATGAACCAATCAACCATCTCCGCTCCAGCCAAAGGGATTGGAGAGGGAAGTTACGTTGGAGAGAGAGGAAGAGACACATAGACTAGTATAATATCTGGTGAAATTATAACGACCTCACTGCGACCTCACTGGAAATCATGGTTAGTATTGGAAATCATCCCAAAATGGCCTTAATTCAGGTGAGCATTTGGCCCAGCTTTCAAGTAGCGTGACTCGTTACGCAAAGACAGCGTACGAATAGGGCCGAGACATCTTCGCAATGGCATTGCCACATCTCATTCCCCCTAAGTTGGTGGACTTACTGGCTGGGATGGAGTTGTATGGGCATTTGGGATCCACTTGGCTTCAGCCTCGTAGTAACCTCTTGGTTGACAATGTCGAGATGGTTGAAAAAGGTGACCTTTCCTATTTGATGTGCAATCAAGTGGTTCCGGAGGGATCTGGCAAGGATATGTTCATCAACCGATGTTTTCCTGGACTGCCTGATGTCTTGTGTGAGGATCGGATTTTGATTTCAATCAGCTCCGTGCTTGACTTCCCACCAAATGAGAAGTTGTTGTTGTGGAACATCAAGGACACTTTTTGGTCGCCTCAGCAGACCATTGCAGCATGGGAAATTGATGCCGAAACCATGGTCTTGCCGATCAGGGAACCGTCCATGTGCAGGATCCATCTCTTGGAGACGTTTGCTGGGGGGTATGCAGGGTGGAAACATGCTTGTAGGTTTCTTCATGACCATTTTCACGTGCCAATCCAAACAATTGGTCTTGAGATTGACTTGGACTCATGTAAAAGCTATGCCATGAACCATGACACCTTGCTCATTGACGCTTCTCACATGCCACGTGATGTCAACTTTGAAAAGCTTGATAGAGATGTGATCATCCGTGCTGATATTGACAATGATGCATGGCTTCCAGCCATATGCAATTGGGGTGTGCATATCATGACGATCAGTGCTCCATGTCCTCCCTGGAGTGGAGCATAATCAGGTCCAGGATTAGACTCCGACCAAGGGTGCTTGCTTCCTTCCGCAATCCTGAGATGTAGGCAAATTAGGCCCATGATTGTTCTCCTTGAACAAGTCAATGCATTCTCAACGCATCGGCATAGGAAACCTTTGCATAGACACTCTGAAGCATGTGGGGTATCAAACCGTTGTTCGAAGGGTCATTGATGCGGCGGACTTTGGAGGGGTCACCAGAATTCGTTGGCTTGCCCTAGCGGTGCGTAGGCATGACGAAGGAATCACAAGGTTGCCCTTTGAAACATGGCCGAATTTTGGACAACTCACCATGGGCATGCTCGATGCGCTTTTTCAAGAACAGGTGCCAGATTCTGAAGCTCTACAGGTAACCAAGTTGATGTTATCATGTGCACAGGACACCACGTTCCTGCCTTACACGCTTGCCTCCATGAAAAATGCGAGCGGTGTAGAAATCCTGAACGCAAGAACTGTGACTCCAGACCAAGTGCATCCGACAGTGATGTCTCAGTATGGAAACCAACACAACCTGAGCAGGCATACGTTGGAAAGAAAAGGATACTTTGGATGTTTCCTGAAGAATGATTCCAACCTCCGTTTGATGCATCCGGCAGAAATCCAAATGGCTCACATCACATATGGAGAGATTTTTGTCCACCATGCTTTGCAGAAATCTTGGGTGCAAACTGGAAACATGATCACTTTTCCACATGCTGCTTTGATGCTGACTAATGCCATTAACATGCTGGACACAGGGTTGACGAAGCTTGACATGCATGAAGTGTTTGATTCCTTATTCCAAAATCGCTTGCGGGCTTCTTTTTGCACCAGGATTCAGGGTGATACTGCTAGCATGTTTGTGCGCAACCATGACACGTCCAGAGATTGGGTGAAATGTTTGGAAAACTATGAGCAATTGCAAAAGATGGACTGTGACTTCAATTTGCCGGTTGATCATGTGTGGTTACCAAGTGAAGGTTTGGTGGAAATTGGAAAAATCATCCCAAGTGCTGAACCACCACTGCCAGTTTCCGAGATTTCCACCGTTGCTGACGAAAGTAGCCAAGAAGAACCATCCGCAACTGTCCCTTTTCAGACAATGCTGAGAAACCAAATTGTACTCACCGGAAAAACGCTGGTTGCTTGGATTTATCCTGACACCACTCCGCAACAGCTTATCAGCCATTTTCAGGGTCAGATGTTTTTGGAAGAATGCAACCATGAGGGGCAGGGTTTTGCTTTTCGACTCAAATACCATCCAAGATGCCAAGAACTGGAAGAAGCAGAAGGATTTGTCATGACATGCATGCAGCAACATACTGTCATGTTTTTGCAACTTGACCCCAAAAAAGTCGTGCAAGAGCAGTTAGATCGATTGATGCTTTCTCATGTCCAGTTTGACCAATTTGGGGTGATTGCAATTGGACAGAAGTTCTATCAGGATACCATGTTGTTGGATTTCCGTCCCATGCATACAGGCATTGACCAAAACCTTTGCATTGTCCTGGCGGCATTTCAAAATGTTCAGACCTCCTTTTTGACGGATGTTTCCAAGATGCAAACAACTTTCAAGTTTCAGGGAGATGAACAGTCAAGAAGAATCATTGCAGCCATTTGGTTCACCCTCTTTGATCATGACACGCTCAAGAACTTGATGGTCAAGGTCAGTGCCTTCCATTCGCAGACTGATTCAAGTGTCAGATTTGATCACCAGTTGCCGCTGCCAAGTGATGCATTTTCGGTGCTCCTGACCGTTTTGGCCACACGTAGATTGCTTGACACATTGAATGAGCCAGGTCAACCCAGGGTGGTACTCAGATGGAGGTCCAAAACAATCTGGGATGGTTGCTTGAATCCCGCAATTAACATGATCACAATTGCAGCCATCCTGAAGCTGACCTTCTTTCCAAGGATCCTGGGACGGGGTATGCGCCTCATGCATCTTGCCAAGCAGTGCTGCAATGTGACAGTAGCTCAATTGTTGGAGGAAACCAAAAGCCCCTTTGTCATGATCCAGCTTTTCGAAGAATTGGTTGGGGGAACTGGTAGCAAAGAATCCCAAAAAACATGGATTTCCAACTCGCTTGCCGGAACACTTCTTGAACAGGGATTTACCTTGGATTGGGTTGCATCCACAACTGAAACTTTGATGAAAACACTGGGCATCAAAGCAACCATGCAGATTGCTAAGCTGCCGCCTGGAAAACAGAGAGTTGATGCACTCCTCAAGCTATGTGAAGATTGTTCATTGAAGCCGCCGCCGAAAATGATCCAAGCAGCAGGTCATGTTGCCCAGAAAGGACCCAACCCAAGGAAAAAGGTTGCAGTCCAAATCAATCCAGCGGAATACCAAATTGAGCCAGGGTTTTTCCTTACGCAATCAGACGAGCCTGTTCAACAGATCTATGAAGTGAGAAACAAAAGCAGTGGAGTCATCTTGATGTCACTTGATTTTGCATTGCCATGGATCAAAGAAAGTCAGAGGATTTCCGCAGATGAACTTGCCATCATCGTTCCAGGTGCTCATAGCTTTGAAACAACCTTGAAGTGCGAAACGATGCATGTTCCATGCACTGATGCCAACCTCAGACCCGTCATCCTGCAAGCAACAGTTGTGCAACTTGGTGAGCTTTCAGTAAAGACACAGACATCTGAGCAGCCGGTCATTGATGAACTAGCTTGCTCTACGGTTGCCATCACTTTCTGGCGAGATGAGTGGAAGCAGGAGGAGTGGAACTTCATTGTCGACAAGCCCTTTGCATTTGCCAGACAACAGTTGGCTGCACAGGGACATGAAAGTTTGCTCATGGCCACATGGGGTAAGAGCCTTAGACATGAAAGACAACCTGCCACATCGCAACATGCCACGTCAGTCCAGCTGCATGCAACGCTTCCCAAAGACAAATTGAAAGTTTTGCTTACCATCTCAGGGTTCAATCGTATGTGGGTCACACCTAAGAACCAGATGGGACGACTTGACACTGCGTGGCGAATCATTTGGATTGAAGGTACATGGGCTCATCTCAATACTCAGGCCTCCAAGGTGGTTGGATGTTCTGGATTGGTTAGGAGCAAATCCTCCTATGGCCTCAGATTTTCGAACGAAGACTATGCAGCAGCATGGAAAATCCTTTGCCCTGAAAAAGCAATGCCAACAGCTCATGACACTACCTTTCTGTTCCAGATTCAGTCGCTTCCATATGGATGCAGCAGTGAGATGCTTCAGAAGTGGAGTGAAGCCAACAAGTGGCCATGCAAACCCATTAAGGCATTGGGACCTGCATCATGGTTGGTGGGGAGTCAAATCAAGCCTCCTTCTGATTTCATGACGTTCAATGGCAAACCGGTTTTGGTCAAGTTTATTCCCCCAAAGGACTCAGTCAAAGCTAGCCCGATTGTCGCTGGGCCACTTCCAAACAAATTTGACAAAGGGCAATCTCAGCAGTCCGCAGCCAAAGATCGAGGAATGCTTGGAGGTCCATTGAGTTTTGACCCATGGGCGCAATCGGCCCAAGCCAAAGGACTTCCTGCGATCCTAAACCGTGATCACCAAGGCCCTACAGAGACAAAGCTCCATGAGCAAGATGAAAGAATCGAAACGCAGAATCAGAAAATCGCTGTCATTGAGCAAGCTTTGGAACAACTTAGATCAGATACCAAAACAGGCTTTGAGGATGTCCAGAAGCGAGAGCAGCAATCCCAAGCCCAAGTCCAAGCTGCAATTCAGACAGTCAAGCATGACCTGGAGCAAACATTCCAGCAGGCAATTTGCCAGCAATCGACCCAATTGAATAGCACTCTGCAAGATTTGAGATCGCTCTTGCAGGCCAAACCCAAGCGTAGCAGAACAGCGGATGACAGTGAAATGGAAGATTGACAATATAGAAGCAAGAAAAGTCAAGGTAAATTCAGGGTATTGCCAAACGTTTTAGTTTGCAGCTTTTGCCAATTCTTCAGGGTTAGCCTTGAATCAATACACCAGGGAATGATCAGACTCTTCCCTCAATCCCAATTTCGCCTAGTCTTGGGGAATTGCCTAGGTGACTTGCATCCGTGCCAGCCTTGCCTTTTGAGCCATGATGTTGTGGATAATGCGTTGTTTTGTACAGATCCAAGCATCCGTGCACCCGAGTCAACAGCAGGTGAACAACACCTCACCATTCTCTGGATATGCCATTTTGGCAGCAAAGAATCAAGTCACGCAGAATCTTCTACGAGTCAGATTTGAGCAATGTGACTGCATGTGTTGCGGTCCGAGACCTCAGCCAGGTTCAAATGCCATCACTGTTAGCCATGACCCGCACAGGGCCACAAGAATCGGAGAAGCCTCGAATCCAGGACCCAACAATAAGAAAAAATTCCTGGCTTCCCAAGCCATAGTAGCCATCTTGAATCCCACTGCCATTCGTAATAAACACCAAGAATTTCAAACTTTAATTGACACCCATGCGGTTAATACCTTTTGTTGTTCTGAAACAACTGCCACCCAAGAAGTACAAGCTTCCATGACACATCATTTCAATAAGCTCAGGTTGACTACGATTTGGTCTCCACCAGTCATGGCTCAAAAAGAAAAGATCTCGAACCAGCCAAGCTTGCGAGGAAGAGCAGGGGGGACCTCAATTCACTCTGCATGGCCTATTAGAGAGGGGCTTAGTAAGCAACATGACCCTGAAAAAGCGCCCGATCGATTGACCCATGCGGTAATCCAATGGGGTGCAATGTATGTTCAAGTCATCACCATTTATGGTTATACTGGAGGGAATTCATGGCATAAAGAGGCCAATAACTCCTTGTTTGCCAACGCCATTCGTAAAGCCGAAACGATTGACCTTCCAGTCATGTTTGCAGGTGACTTCAACATGGATGTACACCAGTTGGATTTGTATAATCATCTTGCTTCACAAGGTTTCTCTTCCCTACAGGTTTTGTATGAAAATATGTATGGTCACCCCATGCCAAAAACGTGTAAAAATGCCACTATTCCAGACACCGCCATTTTGCATCCGACACTGATCCAACACCTCCTTGCCATACATGTGGATAAACAAGCCTTGTTTGACGCCCATGGTCCAGTGATCCTTGCTTTTGATGTTCCATCACTACCACACTACTACACAAAACTCTCCACTCCTAAAACTTGGATTGACATACCCATTGACACTGACGACCTACAGAATGCAGCTCATTTCACATGCCAGGAAGCCCATCCTATGAACCTGCAGGAATGGGCTGAGCTAGTTGAGTTCACCGTTGACCATGCAATCAATGTGGAACACAGAAAAAACCCCGAACTTTGTGCCATGCAGCACTTGCCAAAAAGATATAAAGGAAGATGCCAACCCACTAAGTTTAAAAAAAATCCTTTGGTAGCACCTGCAAAAAAAGCTAGAGATGGTGATTATAACCCACCTTTTGAATGTGCCTCATTCCAGAGTAAGAAGTTTGTCAAACAAATCCGGCGACTTTCATCCTTGCGTATGCGACTCAAAGCTCTTGAAAAAGTTGATTGCATTTGGAACCAGACCTACGTGGACTTGTGGAGAGAATGGACTTCCATCCTCAACTGGAATTGTAAAAGGCAAAATTTCTTGAGTTGGGCTCTGGACAAACCTGAGCTTTTCCCTTTTCCCAAGGGCTTGCCTACGATCGCATGGTTGCTGTTGGCCGAACAGTTTTTGCAACATCAACTGCATGACATGCTGCATTTTGAGCAATCCCTGCGTAACAAGATGTCCTAGATGCGGCACATCATTGACTGCCAAAGCAATTTTCACCGAGAGGCTTATAGAACCATTAAAAAGCAGGAATTTTTGCCTTTCCATCACGTACACAAGAATGTTTCTGAGGATGCCATTCTGGTACCAATGCCAGCATCAGGACACTTTGAGTGCTTTGTGGAAAATCCAGAGGCATACCAACAAAGGGTTCCATTAAATGTTGATGGTACTGAAGCTGCCCTGATACAATGCCATGACCACAGCCTTGAAATTCGAATGCCACCAGGTTATTGCGGGGGTAGTGAGAATGTCCCAATCACACAGCAGCAATGTTCCTTTCATATTCATGAAGTGTTTGATGAACTGTCAAGCTATTGGCAACAATTCTGGTATCAGGGACGGCTAGCTGATGAAACTGACTTTCAAGAGGAATTTCAAAGTGAACCCGTGCAATTTCCACAACTGGATGACAGCTTTGAGGACAATCTGGATGAATGGAAATTGGCAATTGCTCAGTGTAAAGGGGATGCATCACCAGGTATTGATGGATTTACCTTTCGTGAACTCAAACAGTTGCCTGATGTTTTGTTGAAGCATCTTGTGCGAATCATCTCCGGCATGAAGTATTTTCCTGAACACCTCATGATTGCAAAGACTATTCCCCTTCCCAAGAAAGGCAAACTGACGGCTGACAATAGTCGACCTATCACCATTTTGGCTACTTTATATCGCCTATGGGGAAGGGTTTGCACCAAACGATGCTTGCAGCATTTGGCCAAACATGTCTCTCCAGCAATCACAGGAATGATCCCCAAGAGAGGAGCTCATGAGGCCAGTTATTCGATGCAAGCCATGTTGGAAAGACATTGTACAGACCGTCATCACATCACTGGACTCACCCTTGACCTGAGGAAGTGTTTCAACCTACTTCATCGTGCAAATGTTCGGCAGTTGATGTTGAATCATGGTTTGCCTGTTTCCTTGGTCATGAAATGGTTTGATTCAATCCAAAAGTTAACCAGATATTGGGATGTCTCCAAGACCTGCAGCAGCTGCTTCCCTACGAACCATGGATGTCCGGAGGGAGATGCCTGGTCAGTAGTAGCCATGATTTGCACAGCTCAAGCATGGTCCCAGTTACTTGTTAGGAATGAGCCTGAGCCATTGACCACTGCTTTTGCAGACAACTGGACATTTTGGATGAACGAGACAGAATGCAGCTCTACACCGGTTGAATTAACAAAGGACTTCACTGCGTGGATGGGACTTGAAATCAACTGGGAAAAAACATGGCTGTGGTCGACTTCCTCCACAGGAGTTCCAAAGCTGAAATCTGCCATCCAAGACATAGTACCAACCGAGGTCTTGCAAACTCAAGTGCATGCCACTGATCTAGGTTGCCAGATGACGTACCATGGTACTGCTAAGATGGGTATATTGCACGATAGACTGGCACTGGCAAAACAGAGGCTTGAAACCCTTAAGCATTGTACCTGGGCCCTGCCGTTGAAAATCCACGTTGTGATCACTTGTATCCTTCCACTTGCGCTCTATGGGGCGGAATTGTTGGCGATTGGACAAAAACATCTTTCTTCACTACGATCGCAGATTGCTGATGCTTTGGTTGGGGACAACGTGCCTTCCATGAGTAGTAGCATCTTTTTACACTGTGCCACTTTCCATGACCTCGACCCTCATATGATAGTCCTTCTCAAAGCTATCAAAGCAGCCAGAAAATACCTAACATTTGCCACTCAAGACACTCAAGCCAAGTTTTTTAAAACCATGTCACGGCCTGTTGATACCAGTGGTCTCTCCAAGGGACCTGCCAGTGCCCTGCGGGAGTACCTGCAGCGTATAGGTCTAGGATGCTCACCCAATGGGATGATCCAGGTAACGGCATTTAAATCATGTCACTTGCTCCTAACTCCTCTTAAAGATCTGCATAGATACCTTGGGTGGGTTTGGCAGGAGCAGCTCTTGATGATGCATACTCAACGTTCTAAACTTTATAATTTCCCTTCACTCAACAAGTTTGAAACCTGCAGAATGTTGCATAAATTCCAGCCCAAACAACAACTGCTCCTCCTGCGTGAAATTGCGGGAGCATTCCAAACCAAAGCACAACAATCGAAATGGAATGCTGAAGTTTCCAATCGCTGTGATTTTTGTGGAGAAGAGGGTGATACCAGACAGCATCGTGCATTTCGTTGCCAAGCTTTTGTGGACACCTATGTAAAGCATCCGAAAGCAATTGATGAAATTGCCAATAATGACCCTGACTTTGTTGAGCTGCCTGCATGCTTTATGCATCCACACTATGAGTACCATGATGCCATCCTGGAATCCATGCGCATACCTTCCATCACTGGTAAAATGAAGGAACTGCTGATCCAAAGTGCTATTCCCAATCTTGTTTTTTTCACGGATGGGAGTTGCAGATATCCTAATTCTCCGGAAACGTGTTTCTCTGCATTTGCCATTGTGGTTGATCTGGCTCAGACAGACTGCCAAAGAAGAGACCTTGCCAGTATTTTCCGACATACTGGACAAATGCCAGCCACGTTGCATCCGTTGCAGATAGGTAGAACACGAGGTAGACAGCAAATTCATTGGGCCGAACTTTCTGCCCTAATTGTTGTCGCTGAATCATTTGAGGAATTTACATTGCATACAGACAGTGCAGTAGCAATTTCGCTTGTCCACCTGTGTCGTAGTGCCGGCCAGCTTGAAGACCTCATGGGACATGATGATTTTGATTTGTTGGCTAGACTGTTTAGGGTTCTCACTCCCCGGCAAGAATTTGTGAAGATCCGTGCTCATCTCAACCCACACGAAATTGCTGATGATTTGACTTTGTATCAGGTTCTGGGGAATATGCTAGCTGACAAGGTTTCAAATCAGTCGTGTGTACAATTTATGCCTGAGATTGTTCAACAGCTGGAAGAATTTCATGCGGATGCGCAAGAACAAAGGGATAAGACCTTGATGTATTATCACCTCAATTTGGACTTGCAAGTGGCGCGGGCACAGGCAGTGTCATGTCGTGAACATACGGAAGAACAAGATGCCAGAGTGATCACAGATGTGCGACAGATGTTGACAAATTGGACAGTCAAAGAGAAGTGGTCACAACCAGAAGTGGTGGATGACAGTGAGCTTGTTCACTCAGTTTGGGGTTTTCAGTGGACAACAGCGTTGATGGAGTGGGTTAGGACCAGTGAATGGCCGGCCAATCCGGTCGAAGGGGATCCAGGGATAGCATGGTCTGAGATAGCACTTTGTCTGGTTCTGCAACGGGGCCTTTGGTTGCCAGTAAAGAGGAAAAGGGGCTTGGTGCATGCCATTCTACATCCTTGCTCGCAGCAGGACGTTGTGGATTTAGACGTCACTTTTTCCGAACAAACTACAGTTGCCTACAACTTGATGAATCAATTGCAGGGATTAACAGTCCAACAGGTGCTTCCATCACATGTGAAGTATGGCAAGTGCAAATCACTTTACATGCAAGGCAATGTGTCTTGGACTACGGGGCTTTCGGCTAGACCCCGTTTTCCGATGCAAGCAAGAGTGTTTGGTATCATTCAGGCTTATTTGGCTAGTCACTCTGGTTTGGTGGCTCTTCCCGAGATTGATTTGCCATTTAATTGTGACATGTGGCCGGAAGACATGAACAAAGAGCACTTTGAAGAGAGAACCCGCATTGCGCGACTTGCCATGTTGCGAGTGCGGAAAAGACGAAACAATGCATAGCTTGGTAAATGCTGGCGTGTTTCCACATTCGATGATACGTTTCTCATCCCGCTCCCTGGGTTTGGTTCACAGGATGGCGCCCTGGCAGTGGCGATGAAGGCAATGACAGCTTGGAGTGTGGATGGTACGTTGTGGTCTCCCTCTTTTATTTCCTTTTCACCATGGACCACCTCCTAAGACAGGAGGCATTGCAAAAGACAAGCTGCCCCTTGCGCACCGCTGGGGGGCGGCTGTGGGACAACGTGGAACAACGGCCTTAATTCAGGTTAGTGAAATATTATAAATTACCCAGATATATATATATATATACGATTAATTGATTGTGATTATATGTACATATATGATATAATTAGATATATATATATATATATAAATGTCAAGAATCCCTTGTATAGCTATTGCATATGTCAAAACCTGTCCATGTTTAAGATGACCACGTTGAATCTTCCGAGCTGGCCATGTTTTCGGCCAGGCTTGGGGGGTACCGCCCTATTCTTGGCCGGCTTGAAACGTTTTGCCATTGATGGTCCTCCTGAGTTCCTGGGCGATGATGAAACCATAAAGGATGTTGGATTGATTTGGGGGGACCATGGGGGACCTGGAATGAGTAAAATTTTGTAAATATGGTTTTACTAATATGTTGCATTGCTTTATTGATCTTTATTGAAGTTTCTCTGAGTGACGATTCATAGGAGTTTGTGGCCTGCAGCGGCCTGTGGTACCCTTGGGCCATCTTGAGCAGCGCGGCACGTTTCGAATGTGAGGTTTGACCCGAAGCCGGACTCGATGAGTGGCAAGACCGTGCTGATCACCGGTGGGAACACAGGCTCCCAGCTGCGGGACAGCGGGGCCATCCCAAAACAATGGATTGATACAGACAACGGTATATTTTGATAGGTATTTGAATGATTCCTGTATTTTTTGTTCAGAATTACCATGTGCACTTGGATGTTTTTTCCTGGGAATAACGATGAATCACGGATGAAGTTAGTGAAATCAATCTTGGGGTTTCAGCAAAGAATTGACAGCCAGGATGGATCCTCCACCAAACAAACGCACGGTTGAGTAGGACAAAAACATGTTTGAGGATGGATCCTCCCAACAACATCTCGAATGTCAGCTCCAAGAAACTACAAGAAACATGAACATGCCAACCCAACTGATCAGATACGATGAGATTTTCGGGCCTGGCTCAAGCCAAACTGTCACTGCTGTCACTGACACAGATTTTTGGATGATTCTATCGCTGTAAATTCCGTGGGTCCACTGGCACCACCAGAACAATCATCTCCAAACACTAGGGCTTTCCTAAGTTTCCTAACCAACCTTCATTACTCATCGATTAGTTTCCAAAGTTGTCGAAAAACCTTGATTGCCCATCTATCAATCAGTTTACTAGGTGTCCTGAGTTTCTCAAGTTTCCTAAGCTTCCTAAATTGCCAAAGTGTCCTAAGCTTCCCAAGTTTCCTAAGTTTTCCAAAATGTCCTAAGTCCTAAGGGTCCTAAGTTTTCTCATTGTCCAAATTTCTGCGGTTTCCGAAGTTTCCTCGGTTTCCTCTATGCTTCCTAGGTTTCGCCATTTTACCAAGTTGTCTAAGTTGTCCAAAGTTGTCCAAGTAGTTTCCTAAGGTTCCTGAGTTTCCTAGCCTAAACGTTCGTTTTTTGACTTTCCTCAGTGGTGATGACCAAAAAACGACCCTCCGGCGTGGCCGGAAAATCCCCCATGTTCGACGATTTTCCGAACTATAACCCTTCAGATTTAGTTGTTTGATGACCCAATAGTTGGTTAGTTAATGTTAGTTATACCATGTTGCATCCCCATAGTTATATCATGTTGCATCCCCATAGTTATATCATGTTGTATCCCCATAGTTATATCATGTTGTATCCCCATAGTTATATCATGTTGCATCCCCATAGTTATATCATGTTGTATCCCCATAGTTATATCATGTTGTATCCCCATAGTTATATCATGTTGTATCCCCATAGTTATATCATGTTGCATCCCCATAGTTATATCATGTTGTATCCCCATAGTTATATCATGTTGTATCCCCATAGTTATATCATGTTGTATCCCCATAGTTATATCATGTTGCATCCCCATAGTTATATCATGTTGTATCCCCATAGTTATATCATGTTGTACCCCCATAGTTATACCATGTTGTATCCCCAAAGTTATATCATGTTGCATCCCCATAGTTATACCATGTTGCATCCCCATAGTTATACCATGTTGCATCCCCATAGTTATATCATGTTGCATCCCCATAGTTATATCATGTTGCACCCCCATAGTTATAGCATGTTGTATCCCCATAGTTATATCATGTTGCATCCCCATAGTTATGCCATGTTGCATCCCCGCAGTTATATCATGTTGTATCCCCATAGTTATATCATGTTGCATCCCCATAGTTATACCATGTTGCACCCCCATAGTTATATCATGTTGCATCCCCATAGTTATATCATGTTGTATCCCCATAGTTATATCATGTTGTATCCCCATAGTTATACCATGTTGTATCCCCATAGTTATATCATGTTGTATCCCCATAGTTATACCATGTTGCATCCCCATAGTTATACCATGTTGCATCCCCATAGTTCTATCATGTTGCATCCCCATAGTTATATCATGTTGTATCCCCATAGTTATATCATGTTGTATCCCCATAGTTATACCATGTTGTATCCCCATAGTTATATCATGTTGCATCCCCATAGTTATATCATGTTGTATCCCCATAGTTATATCATGTTGCATCCCCATAGTTATACCATGTTGCATCCCCATAGTTATATCATGTTGTATCCCCATAGTTATACCATGTTGCATCCCCATAGTTATATCATGTTGTATCCCTATAGTTATACCATGTTGCATCCCCATAGCTATATCATGTTGTATCCCCATAGTTATACCATGTTGCATCCCCATAGTTATATCATGTTGTATCCCCATAGTTATATCATGTTGCATTCCCATAGTTATATCATGTTGTATCCCCATAGTTATATCATGTTGCATCCCCATAGTTATAACATGTTGCATCCCCATAGTTATATCATGTTGTATCCCCATAGTTATATCATGTTGCATCCCCATAGTTATATCATGTTGTATCCCCATAGTTATATCATGTTGCATCCCCATAGTTATATCATGTTGTATCCCCATGGTTATATCATGTTGCATCCCCATTCATATCCAATTATATATATATATCTTTATCCCAGTCATATCCAAATTATATCCCGGCTATATCCCATGTACATCCCTTGGAAGAACTAACCCATTAGGTATACGATATATCCCATGAATGTGCTGTAACTAAACTCACCAGGTTGATTATCCCATTAGTGGATCTTCATATTTGGTTTTATTAATATCACATGTCGCTTTCATATCCCGTGAATATGTCATTTTAACCAATAATATGATATTATGATCCCATATAAGTTCTTATCCCATTAGGTGAAATTAATTACCAGAGATTAAGATACATTAACAATCAACTAATCATGTCCTGTTGGCGATATATCCCATATTGTCCATGTCCCCATGAATATCCCATTGTATCATGTTGCGTCCCATTGTTTCATTACCCAATAGTTGGTTAGTTAGCTGTATCATCTTATGTCTCATTAATATACAATTTTTACTAACCCACTAGGTATACGGTATATCCCATTGTGTGCTATAAGAAGCCATGTTTGATTATGTCACGAGTAGGTTCATAGTCGGTTAGATATATTCCATGAATGGGATATCAAATTGTAAATTCCAATTAAATTTCCTGTTGAATTCCATTATATAATTATCAAAGGCCAAGATCCATTAATAATTAACCATGTCCAGATGGTTATATATCTCATTGTGTCCCCATTAATATCACTCTAAATTCCCCTTGGTATCCCCATTAGTATCCCATCATATCCCTATTCATAGTTAGTTAGATGATATATCGCAATGGCATATTTGGTTCCCATTCAGAATTGGTTTTTGTATATTAGTCCAGTTGGTTATAATTCACATCCCATTCACCATTAATCAACCAACTAGACTCATAAAAATCCCAAACCATCACTATTAACCATGCTACCATAGTCATTCATGGTTAATCAGTATGAATAGTCATATCAGTATTTAATCAGTTAATATCTAATAGTCACTATTATTTAATAAGTCATTCAGCACTAATATTCACCACGAATCCTCCATGTCCCTCGGTCAAGGCCTGGGCCGCGAGTCCGCGCTGCGCTTGGCCAAAGCAGGCGCCACGGTGGTGCTCACCACGCGCAGCGCCGTCAAGGGGCAGAAGGCCGTGGAGGAGGTGAAGCTCGGGCTCGAGGTGAAGGGAACGACCATGACATCCTGTAGGGATTATAGGGATTTCGCTCGGGATTTCAGCCCCAAAAAAATCTGGGTCAACCTGGAAATATTGAAATTCAAACATGGAAAATAGGCCTTGAACCTGTGAGACTGGCCAAAGTTGTGGTTTTCAACCATGAAAAACACTGATTTTAACAGCCAAACTCGGGGTTTAATATGGGTTTACCATCGAAAAGTGGGATTTAACATCGTACATGTATTAAATTTTATTAAACCTTGTTTTAAGTATGAAAAAAACAGGGAGTTGACCAAAAACAAGATCTTCGAGAAGACACGATATACGTTTATAGTCAGCAATAAAATGATTTGAATGGATTGACATGATTTGATTAACAAGAAAGGCAATTATACCAGAAAAAAATTGGTTCAATCATGTTAGCTGTGGAATTTTGAAGAGGAAAAGGTTCCTTGCGGGGGCCGCCATTCCGCAAAATTCACCTCTCAGAGTTAATCCGTCCCTTTTATGAATCCTTGGGGGAAAGGACGGATTAATTACAAACCTTGAAGCCAGAGCAGAGGGTGGTTCTTGTGGTGGCTTAAACCATGAATTGATGTTTTGACCACCACCACCACCACCAACAACAAGAACAACGACGACGATGACGACAACAACACGTACATGTCCTGTGGTAATCTAACATGCTTTGTTGGGAAATCCATCTCTTGATGGCAAAATCATCTACACATGGATGTAACTGGGCCATTTTCCATCAAAATTGTGTGATAACAATAGGGTAATTAAGCGGAACCCCAAGACGGCAGACATTTCCAGCACTTGTAGATACTGCATGTTATTGTTCGTTGACATGTAGGCAAATCAGTTTCCAAGACTTCAAGACCACTTTTGGGGATCATTGGGCTTACATTGGTAGATGAAACACAGAATTTTGCCACACCCCCTTTTTGGGTTCTTCTCAGATTTATATCTCAGTTTTCCATCAACCAATTCCAGGCGTACTACTCGATTTAAAACATTAGTTTTGGTGGCAATTCCCCTATGTTCAATCAGAAATATAAAACGAGTTTCTCGAAAGCAGAATTCTTGAACCCCCCGTGTTCGTTGGTTAAATCATGTTCAATAATCCCCATGTTTGCCAGATTTCGCATAAATGGAGTCGTTTCAGATCAGAAAGCTGCCGAGGAAAGCCGCCAGTGGCAGCAACGACGTGCACTTCCTGAAGCATCTCAGCTGTTGAGGGGGTCCTGCGGTCCTGGTGACCAGAAGGTGGTGCCCCCTCAGTTCAAAGTTGGTTTATGTTGGTTTATACATGTTAAACATCTCAACCATAGTTATTATAGTTCTATAATGTTATATAGTGTGTTAAATGTTATAGTATGTTATAGTATGTTATAGTATGTTATAGTATGTTATAGTATGTTTTATATAGTATGTTATAGTTATAATCACTCATGAGGTTTAGTGTTTACCATGGTTTGTTGGCAACGTCGAGCTAAGTTTGGGGCACCACGTTCAACAGCGCGAAGCGCCGGAGGTTGGATCTGGCAGATCTGAATGACGTGAAGTCCTTCAAGCAACGCTTCACGGCAGAGAAGTATGGCCTGGAGCCTTAATGGGCACAGGCACGACTTTGACGCTGAAGATATGGGGGCTGTCACACGAATCAGATATAACAACAATATTTATATATATATATATGAGTGTGTGTAATATAATATATATTGTAGATTTGGTACTCAATCCCAAACCAAGGTCGGAGCGAACTAGGTCTCCTAAATGTCTCACCAAGGCGCACGAAGTCCTTTGTCTCGCGTAGCTCTCTATTGGTTCATGTGCACCCTCCCACTTTGAGAGGTAAACAGCGGTCGTCAGACCTTTGGAAATGAACATGCCCATGTTGATATATGAGTGTATGGAGTGCAATCAACACGGGGCAAAAGAGGTAAAAGGTGAAAAGAAAGGATTCCTGGCTCTCATGGCACGATGGTGTGCAAATAGTTCACTCGGCCCCCATGCCTTTGGAAAAAGGCTCTGCAGTCTTCTTCCAGCGTTGTTCCCGAAGTTTCGTTTCTCTTCAGGGGCGTCACATGGGTATTGAAACAAACACTGCAGGCAGCTCGGTCATGAACCCTTGGAGAGTTGACCAACGTAGGGCAGTCAGGAATCACGTGCCAGCAACGTCCACCTGGTGTATGAAATCCATGCATCTCACGGAAATCCACCATCTCGTCCAGTGCTCGATCTAAAAGACCCTTGGCACTTCGCAGGGCGCGCTGACTGGCAGCACGGGTTTCTTCAAACAACCCATTGGTTCGATCCAATTCCAGCTGCAGTGTGGCATTTTCATCCATAGTAGAGTTCCAAAACCCTTTGTATTCATCTCGCTCATAGTTGGACTGTTCCAAGTCCTGTGAGAAGCGTGTCGCTCGTGCTCGTTCTTCATCCAGCTGTATCTTGAGGCATCGATTGGCCTTCTTCAAAAACCAAACTGTCATTCCAAGAGCCAAAACGCTCAGCAGCAAAAACAGAAGCATCGCCAACGCCTTGCTTGGCATCCAGCTGTCCGGTTCATCCAGTGGCAATCGTGGTGTTTCGATTGCAACATCGCAAACATGCTGCTGTGTCATAGGCAGCAAATCGGCGCCTTGCGCCGCCGCAGGCAGTGCAGCCATCAAAACGGCAGAAAAGCAAAAACGCACGACATGGCTCGCCCGGGCATAGGACTCGACAGGCATCTTGGTATTTACAACAGCTGCATTCAAGTCATGGGCCATGTTATACTCAGAAACTCGGTTATACTCAAAAGCTTGGATCTCGGCGGGAGCTATGTCTTTCACAAACACATCATTCGGCTTTGAGAGCTGGGAATTCACAGGGAAAAAGGGCTCTTCAGTCGCTTGCTTGGATTCAAAAACGTGCTCATCCGCAGGGAGAAGCCTTTGCTCTTCGCAGGCATGAATTGCATCTACGGAGCCATAGACATCGTCCACATCAATTCCTTTGGAAGTGACATCTGGACCAGCAGTATTTTCATCCTCGGCAGCAACATGCATTTCGTTCACATCGGCTGTCGCTACATGTGGTTGGTTTGTTGAAAATGGAGTGGAAGTGGATTTGTTGGTGGTGGTTGCAAACTCATTCCGGCTCTTTTCTCTCTGTTTCGCAGTTTTCTTCTTTGCAGCAGTGTATCCTGGGTCGAAGGTAAACTTTATGGCTCCATGTCGCAAACGGTCACAAAGAAGTTGGCGGGCAGAAATTTTTGTCAACCCATCACCAAATTGGCGTTCTGAGGAGATCCATTTGAGAACCCCATTCATTCCTTCAACTTGTTCACGGACTACACGGAGTTCCAAGTTGGTGCGCTTGTCGGTGGCACCATGGTTTATGGCATCTCTGTGGTAGCTGTCATACAAGGCTTTTGCATCAGTGATAAAAGTTGGAGAAAGTGTTGGATTCTTCGCCTGCAAGGTGTCCTTCAAAGAGTCTTGGGGGTTGAAAATCATATGCCAAAAACGAACCACAAACTCGGTGCTGTCGACTGCAGTTGCTGCTGACTGTGCTTCTGCAGGCAAACTTGACCTCGCAATTCGTGGCAGCTTGAAACTGCGCCACTCCAGCACATGATATGGTGTTTCAACACCTTCAAAAGCACTCTTATTGGTAAGGAGTATCACAAACCCTCCTTGACTGGCTTGGTCATGTCGCACTCCCAGCGCCGCATCAAACATGCATGTCAAACGTAAATCTTCCAAACGACCAAGTGGAGGAAAACGCAAGTGCACATCGGAATTGCTTTTGGCAAAACGTAGGAGTTTATTCACCTCGATCAAAGGACTGGAAAGACCAGTGCTCATTTCACCACTCAAAAGTGAAGTTGAAGCTTGCAGATGTGGGGACGTCTGCACGGCAGGCCACTGCAGGCTTCCAAGCAGCTGGCGAAGCATTGTATGCTCCTTTTCGCTCATCGGCTGGTGGGGTTGCCGATCTTTTCCAATTGAAAGTGGAGAAACTTTGCTGAGGTACTCCTTATGGCTGATGTGCCAAGTTCCATCCTCATCACGGGTCATCTTGGCGCCACAGTAGTCAAAAGGTTCATCCTTTTGCCAAGTGCGAAAGTTGAAAGCTTGTTTCAGGGCAGCTTCAGCAGCCATGTAGGTTGGTGATTTTGGATCACCAGCACCAAGCATGTCATCAACATGGAGAGCAAGGAGGCCGCATAGAGCTGGAACTGCATCGCCTTGGGCTGGTTCATACAACAACCACAAGCATGGATCCATAGGATGAAGCACCCATCCCAAGTCTTTCAAGCGACGTGCTGCTTCCATGTGCCATCTCTTTGGGGCATCAAGTTGACCATAACATGGTTTGTGCAGGAGCATCCTAGTGTTTTCGTCACCACCCAGCAAACGAACAGCATCAGGAGGAAGTTTAACCCAAAGAAGTCGTTCTTGTGGAAGGCCTTGCAAAAACGCTGTGGCAACATCAGCGCTCCATCCGCACCAAGACAGGCATGCTGAAATGCTCAAAAGACATCCTCGGCCAAGCCTACTGGACGCTGGCGAGGCCGTATCAAGCTGACCAGCAAGTGCATCGGCATCAGTGTAGCCACGCACCACAAGCCTGGCTTTTGCTCTGGGGCTTCCGTCTGGGTTTCTAGACCACTTCAAAAGGATGCGGCTGCTCAGAGTACGCTGCGGATCAGCTTCACGGGTAGTCTGGAAAGACCACACTCCATTGCTGAAAAACGATCGCAGCTCATCCATTTTCGCCTTCTGAAAAAGCAGCTTGTCTTCTAAACTCATGTTTCTTTCTGACAAATCATTCTTGTTTTGATCTTTCTTGAACTTCCGCTTGGTGTGGACTTTCTGTTGCTTGCCCACTTGCTTTGCAGTGCTAACAGCATAGGCATGCATTCCAAGCTCACGGCGCGATTCGCCATTGATCTGAAAAACAGTGCAGCCAATCCATGGTTTGCCAGAAACTTCAGCAACATCTTTGGAGGTATCACAAAAGTGTTTGACACCATCTTGACCACGGCAAACTGTAACTCGAACATCATCCAAATGACTGAGAGGAATTGGCATGTGAGCTTGTTCTCGTGCAGAAAGTTTGGAAGGATCAAAACGTGTCCTTCTTGGCACCACATGGTGTCTGATCAGGCAACCAGACTTGAGCTCCCAATGGTCCTTGTTCGTGTCATTCATGACCACATAGCCATCTTCAAACTTCCAACCAGGAGGCAGCTGAGTGGAGTCCATGTCCTGGATGTCAATGGCTGAAAATCCAAAGCCAGCATCTTCAGAGTAAGGTCCAGGACCATGTTCCCGTGGGGGATCTGCTTGAGGTCGTTCAGCTGGTTCTTGTCGATTTCGAATTGGACCAAACCCATGAGATCGTAGTGACATGGTTTCTTGCTGTGCCACTCGCCTTCTGTGTGCTCTGAAATCTTCATGAGTGGCTGGTTGGTAAAAAGAAGCTGTGATGGAATCCAGACCAGGTGTTGGAGCTGGTGGTGTCGCCATAGTTGGTGGAACCATTGGTGGCACAACCTCATGCCTCGGGCTAGGCTCTCTGGATGGCTCAGTACCCAAGATAGAATCATCTCGGATTTCACGGATGACAGAAGGTGTCTCCGCAGGTGATGTTAGAGACAACGGAGAGTCATGGATGGCAACGTCGGAAAGGCCAGGCTCCAAAAGTCCAAGTCCAGGAGCTGCTGGAGTCACAAGTCCAGGTGACTCAGCATTGGCATGTGGTGCTGAAGCAGGTTCCGAAAGTCCAGTTGGAACCGAGTCCATAAGTCCAGGGGACTCCAGTTGCGGATCATCAAGGATGGCTTCAGCTGTGGCCAGATCTTCCGTACGTGCCAAAGATGGTTCATATGAGCCAGGAGATTGGGCAGGTTGTGCAGGAGGTTCGAACTGAGGGTCCACCAATCTTCTGCGGCGAGTAGGCGGCTCTTCAACTTCTGAGTCGAGCTCGTCCATGACCTCGTCGCCAGAACCAACATCATCAATGTTGTTGCGATTCTTGATGGTCAGGTCGGCAAAACGTGTAACCCCTCTTGACCGAAGCTTTTGGACCACATCCTTGGCAACCTTCAAATCGCCCAAAAGCGTTGAAGAGCTTCTTCCGATCTCAGGCCTGACATGGTGTGGTGCACAGCGAAGAAGCTGTGACTTGTAGCCCAGCCAATAGATGGCTGGTTTTCCATCAGGGTTGTCTTCCCGCATGATCACAGTGGCAGGTCCTTTCCATCGTATTTTGATGAGATCAGGAGCTTGAGCATCTCTCCAAAAGAAGCATGGTTGTCCAGGATGGAGGACAGTGTTGGTGCCCGCATATTTTCTGAGCAAGGCACGACGCAGCTTCTGGTCCATTTCGGCCTGAACAATGGCCATCTTTGCAACAGCCCGCTTGGAGAGCTCATCCTCAAACGGTACGTCCAAGTGCACTGGTGTCAAGTTGGTTCCAAGAAGTTCTCCAGGAAAATTGGGGGATTGTCCCAACACCCACTGGGCTGGTGAGTAGCCAGAGGTCGAAGGAGTGTTGTTGATCTGTGGGACAACATATGCCAAAGCTTGACGAATGGCGTTTCCACCTTCAAGTCCAAAATCCATCAGAAAAACTTCAACGGCTTTGCGCAAAACTGCATGCCGTCTTTCCACCAGTGCAAGTTGCTCATGAGCTTCTCCAGCAGCCACCAAGTGTTGGATGGACTGAGCATCTGTCCATTCACCAAAAGAATCGTTCAACCAACCCCGGCCCTCATCGGTGATGAGCCGTTGGGGAATACCAAAAGGTGCAATCCAGTGGCGCTCCAGGGCTGTGATGTATTCATCGGCCTTCTCGGTGTTGATCAAGACTGCAACCTGAAAACGTGTGCCCTCATCCACAATGGACAAAATTGGGAACTTGTTCTGGGCGCTCTTGATCCACATGACATCGGCCTGGATGCTTTGGTTGAAGCGAGAAATCACTTTGGTGGAGGCTGGTGCAACTTGATTGGGCTTCCTATATTTGAGGCAAGCATGGCACTGAAAAGTGCGTGCAACTTCCAAAACTGCTGATGAAGCGCCTCTGGCCTCCAGCATCTCTACAAGGGCTGTCGTAGTTGGGTGTCCAAGGTTTCTATGCAAACGCTGTACTGCACGCACAGCTTCAGCCTTGTTCCCTGTGAGGAGCTGGATCATCTTGCCATGTATGAGCTTGTCTTCATTCACGGCCAGGGCATCTTCCCAAAAGACAGCGCTCTCTGGGACGGCAAGTGCAGCAGCCATGGTTGCAGCAAGGCAAGGTTGGTAATCCTCAAGGAAGCTTGTTCTGGAAATCCCAAAACCGGGAACTTGACCTTCAAGTTGACAGTGCCGATGTGTGCGGTCACATCGAAGGTTCATGGCCTGCATCACCGCACGCTTGGTTGTTTGCAAACTAGTGGTTTTTCGTACCAACTGCCAGGTGTGATCTTGGTCTTTGCATCGAACTCCATAGCGGCACTGGTCAAAAGTGACGCGTTGTCCTGGCAAGCTGGAAAGCGCACGGGTGTGCCAACTGCAAGCACCTTGTGGTTGTTCTAGGTGTGCATGACGGCCATGACGCACTTGACGCACAAAAATCGTGCGGCAGAAATGAAGGTGAGTATCATGGTGAATCTGTCGTTGACGCTGCAGCTCAAACTGTTTCTCAGGGGTGGTCGCATTGATGTTCATCATCTTGCTCCACAAGCCACATCGCGGTGCAAGCCAAACTTCATCGGGCATCTCTTCATCGAGCTTGGCCAGAAACTGAGACCTATGAGATTCCAAGTCAAAATCCCATCCAGTTTCGTAACCAAAAGACTCAACCTGACATCCAAGAGAGTCAGCTACTTCGGCAAGTCGAGAGGCACCTGCATAGACCTCCCAAATCAAACGAGGTCTGGGCTTGAGGTTTTGGAGCTCCTGGGAAACATGTTTGTGCAAGTCATTCTCAGAGGTGGCCAACGCAACTTCAAAACTCCGCCAAAGCTTTGAGACAATTTTTCTATCGCCAACAGTTGGTGCAAGTCCAGGCTCCTCAGAAGACTGGAAAACATTTTCTTCCTGTCGGTAGGTCGAAAAATCCAAGACCTCCGCAGGAGCATCATCAGTTTTCTGAGCATCCACAAGGTTCAGTTCAAAGCAAGGTGGCTGGCCAATGAGCTCGTGGTCAAAGTCCTCAGTGAGCGACAAGAGGTACTCACCGTGCATGCCCATGGTAATTGGTCTCCATGGTCGCCCTTCAAACATCATGGTACGGCACTTGAAGTTGACCACAATGCCAAGCTCTTCGATGATTGGCCTGCCCATCAACATCGGCGTCTCACCTTTGATGATGAACGCTTGTGCGAAACCCATCACACTGTTGACAAAGATGGGAATCGTAGCGATCCAATGGCTGGTGGTAGAGTGATCACCGCCAAAGTGAAAGGTTCTTGAGCACCTCTGCATCTTGAGGGAGTCCACCGGGTAGCCCAAGTCTTGTAGATGTTTGACATATCTGTGAAAAGGTCCAGAACCCATCAGGAAGGCTGATGCACCAGGATCCAACATCGTGCAATCGACACGCTGACGGCCAGCTTCATCTTCAAAAATCACAAGTCCACGTTCTTCAGGAAGAGTGGTCACAGCCATGCCTTCAGTCGTGTGTTGCTTCTTGGGGCTTGGTGGATTCGATGCAGGAGCAGGGTGCTTCTGCTTGGGGCAATTGGCAGCTTGGTGTCCTGGGGCTCCACAACGCAAGCATTGCATAGAGGCGGCTGCACGGCCACGAGGATCAGCAGCTTTCCCAGGAAAACGTGGGTATTTCACCATGTTCTTGCCTTTGCCACGTCCTTTGCCTTTTGGCTTTCCACCACCAGAACCCTTTCCACGGCCAATTGGAAGTTGCGGACCAGCATGAGTTGGAGACTGGTCAGCCAGGGCAACAACAGGGTAAAAGCCTCTGGAAAGTTTCAAGTCTTGAAACCTCCGCCTTGCATCGAGGTAGGCGGCAAAAGCTTCATCATAGGCCTCAACGTCATAGTCGGCCCCCTCACTGGGGCCAGCTTCAGAAGCTTCATAGTACGCCACATCGGCATCAAACTGTGACTCATCGGCCCAGCTTTCATCATAGGTGACTCCATCGTCCATGTCATCGTACTCATAGTAGGCGTCATAGCCTTCATCACAGTCACCCTCATCGTACTCATCATCCTCAGCAGCGTATGCACCACGGCGGAACAGCCGTCCAGAACCAGGTCGTCGGTCGAGTGGACTGACAGCAGCTTTGTGATCTTGTCCAAGGATAAGAAAAAGGCTTTCCTGGACACGCAGCTTTTCCAGTTTGGGAGCTTGCGTCACTACCATTTGACGTTGCTCACGGGTCACGTTGGCCTTCTTCAAGAGCAACCAGCCTTGAACTTCATCAGGTATTTTGATGCCATGTTCTTCAACCTTCCGCAGCTTCTCGTCATGGTTGGTGATGAAGCTAAGGAGCGTCTCACCTGGCTTTCGAGACAGATGCGAAAAGTATCCATCAAAATCCTGTGGCAAACGGACACGGGCATCGTACTGGAATGCTTTGTCCAAGGTTTTCATCAAATCATCAAAAGCTGAATCAGCATCGATCTTGGTCAAATCATAGTTCTCAACCAAACGCCATGCCGTTCCCTGCAGTGAACCTATGATATTCAAAATGCTCTCAGCAGTTCTCTTCTGAAGCTTCATTTTCAAATGGTAGATGTTGATTCGTTTTCGCCATTCTTGATATGACTGTGGTTGCCCATCAAACAGTGGAATAAAGGAATCTTTGGTGATCCCACCGTCCAAGGTTGTGGAACTTGCAGCAGCTTGGGACATCGCAACTGGGGATCCAGGCTTCGCAATAGGGCCCGAATGTTTCTTCGAAGACATAAACTGCCTTGAACTCAGTGATCGTGGAACCTTCAGTTACCTTGATCGACCAAAAGAGCTCGGACTGCAAGTTGGGGTGTAAATGAAAATGGAGTGGAGGAGTTGGAAGTGAAATTCAAAAATGGAGAAGTTGAAGTGGATGTAGCGCAGCGGCGGCGGGCCCAGTTTCCAAAGAACTGGCTCCGCTACCAATGTAGATTTGGTACTCAATCCCAAACCAAGGTCGGAGCGAACTAGGTCTCCTAAATGTCTCACCAAGGCGCACGAAGTCCTTTGTCTCGCGTAGCTCTCTATTGGTTCATGTGCACCCTCCCACTTTGAGAGGTAAACAGCGGTCGTCAGACCTTTGGAAATGAACATGCCCATGTTGATATATGAGTGTATGGAGTGCAATCAACATATATATATATATATATTTATTTATTTATATTATTATATACACGATATGATAATTGTTCATCTTTGTTTTGTTCTAGTTGTATTTATATGTAGAATTGTAGAACTATCATATAGAACCTACAAAGATGATCAATCATTTATTGTCATCAAGTCCAAAACTGCCACAAGCGCCGTTGATATCGGAGCTGTTTCCGGGGCTGTTCTGAAATTCACGATGAGCTACCGAAGAGTCCAGGCATTCTCAGTCAGAGTGGGTCGGTAGAGGACGGATGTTGCAACATTCCTTTGGGGTGATCCTGCTATGACTGCCATGTGGTGGCCTTGTCCAACGTCCCATGAGTTGCCGTGATTTCCATATTAGCAACGCGATGTTTGGAGTTGACAGCCGCGGCAACGCTCCGCGTTGCGCGGGCCTAGGGAAAAAAATTGATGTTCTCATGAACAACGCTGGCGTCATGGCGATTCCCCAGCGACAAGAGACCAAGGACGAGATGGTTTGATGACGGGAAGGTGTGTTGAGGGATGGCAAGCAACATCCAAACATGCCTCATGCATAAATACCTAACGCATGTGCTGAATCAATAGTTATAAATGTTATACATGTTATAAAATAGGTGTGTTTGATGTGTTTCATTTCGATGGAAAGAGAAATATGTTTAATTTGAATTTTCGATGTTCAATTTGGTGACTTAATTTCGTAGATCGAGAGGTGCTCTGAAGTATCTATCAGTTGGCACTGGAGCAGTGGTCGTTCAGGATGGTTTCGAACAACAATTTGGTGTGAACCATTTGGGCCACTTCGTCTGGCTCTGAGAGGTCATAGAAGCGGCTTGGAAACTCATTCAGTCAATGAGGAGCTGGTACAAAATGGATCATGTATGATACTGTGGTTAAAACAATAATAAATACTACCCATGACTCGGAATGGTTTATACCACCTATTTATGGTGATTTGGGGGATGGTTTATGACATTGTTTTAACATGTTTTAACCAAATTAATGGATTAAAACACTACAAACCTACAAGGGCTAGAGATCCAGAGGAAGCTTGTAGGCTCAAGGTCTTGGGTCTTGGGTCCAACGTGTCATAGCTCGACTTCGAGGGGATCCCAAGTTCCATCGAGCTGTGGCAGCCACTGTCGACACTACCCAGTCACTGGCCCAATTCCAAAATATCAAAATATGGCCCATGGTTTTATTCGGTTCTATTACCCATAGGATCCATGTATGGTATATATTGTATATATGCTAACATTTGGGGTATATTGATGGTAAATGTTACCATATATAGCATACATGGATACTATGGGTTATGTCCTATTACATTCTATTAGACTTCCCAGTTCCATGCCCTTTTTTCTTGGGCTTTCGGGGAGTCCAACAGATATCAATGGGACGATCATCACAACCAAAGCCTATGGTGTCAGCCACGGTCCCGGTGCTTGCGCGGCCATGGGTCTTCATCAGGAATGCCACTGGGTTGTGGCGCTGTCAGATCCATCGTTTTGTTTTTTTTAAACCATCACTATTGGGTTATTATATGTTATTATTGAATCGTTTTTTCGTCCCAGTGGGGATGATGTGTGATAAGTACTGTAACATACTGTAACTATGCGGATAATAAAATTTATATATATATAGTTAATTGTATAATATATAGTGTTACATGATAATTTAATACTGTATATAATTGAATAGTTTATTTATGTTTAGTTCAATAATATTTAATTACACCTATATTGTTTTATTTATATATTAACTACAAAATATTTACTGTATATATATATATATTATGAAAATGTTACTGTATTTAACCGATATACATACACACATACATACACATATATATATGTATGTGTGTGTGCACATAGTTTTATATACTGGGAATAAGTGATGATTGCTTGATCGCTACTTTGATGATTCCCGGTGACGCTTAGTTGGCTCGACACACAGTGGGTAACGACCATGGCATTATATATTACGAAGAACATTGATGACACACTTCGCATGACCCTTACTTTGGCCGCTGGCTCATGGCTTCAGCATGATCCAGTGACATACCGCACTGTTCTTCAAAGAAAAAAGCACCCTAGACCGGGGTTGATAGCCGTTCATACTTTTCAGATGATGCATCAAAACTTTCAGGGCGATCAGGGCGATCACCAGAACGAGGATCCATGCCTTCCCAAGTGGACCAATCCACCAGCAGTCAGGCTACAGATCTCTCTCACAAACCATCTTGGCTGGGCCAAAGTCATGTGCAGCTCCTCGGCGATGCAGTGTACATTTTAGCAGGGATTGCAAGCTCCAGCTCCGTTCTCGATTTGATTCTGCTTAGTTGTGCTATGAGAATCTATTTGAGGACTGGTAGTTGGAAGCCGTTTAATCACATTTGCCATTTGTGTGTGATACTGTGTGATCATAAAAGGGTGCGTCCAACAGTAGCTGAGAGAAGCGCATAGAAGCGCCAGAGGTGTCAGAGGTGTCCGCAGCCGCAGGTTTACCCAGAAGCTCTTTAGGGAAGGCGGCATCCAGACGTACCCTGTGCTGGTGGCCCAGACCCTCTACAAGATGAAAGGGCCCCGAGGGGTTGGGCGGGAAATGGTGGGAGATTTAGTGGTATTCTAGTGGTATTTAATGAGGCAATGAGAGGCACATGAAGGCTATGTCGGCTAGGTTTGAGATATCCATTCTGTACAAAACCCGAAGAATGTGGCAATTAAACTTAAACCCAAGAATAAATTAACCATCCAAGATTTTACAGAAACTGATTGTAACATACTGTATGATTTTGTATCAACCATCCCCATCCCCAGACATGGGGTTTGTGGCATTGGGTTTAGCACCCTCAGCTCTCCCGCAGGAGGGCTCCGCAAGTGGCCTTTGTCGGAAGATCCAACGTTGGCAAGTCCACTTTGCTGTGCCTGGGCCTGGGCCTGGATGGAAGCCGCGTCTGCTTTAGATCTATAAAGTAATTACCAGTAATTACCTATAGATGATAACGTTTGCCCGGCAAAAGCCAACTGGATTGCAAAAAAAGAAAGGGTTGTGGCATTTGAGATCCTTGAGCCGCTTTAGCCTTCAAATTTTGAAGCCGATGTATCAGTCTGACACGACATGACTACTGGAGCACCGAGGAATATGTTGCTTCACGGGCGTCCATCACCGGTGTCTCAGCATCTCAGCGAAAGCTCCTCGAAAGAGTTGGATGTGATGTTTTCCCCCTTCGAAGCAACCACATGCAACCACAGGTCCGTGAAGCCGGACAGCACAGCAATGGTACTTGGTACAACTGATCAGAGCTGTTTTGTTTAAGTTTATGTGTTCGAATCGATGTTCCCTACTTGAAACACCTTGAAATAGCCATGGAGGTAGAAAAAACCAAGGTGACGAAATCCTTCATTTTCTTTACGGAAATGCGAAGCAGTTGGCGGCTCCGGGGCAATGGCTTCCGGCCACTCCGAGGCAAAAAGTTGCGGATGCCCAGCGCGGCGCCGGTTTCGCACGTGCCCGGTCGGACCCGGCATTTGTTCCGCTTCGAGATTGGGGGAGCCCTACAGCGCCTGGCTGGATATTCGAAGGGGGCAGCGATGACCTGGATAATCCATGATAATCCCCAATCGAGTCCAGATAGCAACCCATATAGTAATCCACAGTAATCCACAATAATCCCACCCCATATCATATACTTGTTACAAAATGTTATAAAATGATCCCATTCATAATGTGGTTTTGGATCTGGGTTTCCTCCCCTACACCGAGATGGGCCACCATGGACCATGGATCTTCCTGTCCGAAAAAAGGTTCGTTGATTTGCCTGGCTATGGCTTTGCCAAGACGCCTCAGGAGGTGGCCATCCATTTTCGGCGACCGGCAGGGACCGAACTTGGATGGAAACTGTTAAAAATGTTAAAAGTTGGTTAAGGTTAAGGTAAAGCTTAAACGTATATAAATTTCCAAATTTACCATAAATAGATGTAAATAGTTGGTATAAACCATCGAAATAGTGATGGTTTATTAGTGTTTTACTGCCATTGGACAAGTTACTCTCCTACTTTTTCTATTGCAGATTCATGTCGTAATTCTTGGGATGCCTTTTCTCAATATGTCCTACCCATCCCAACAGAAATCGCAGGTCAAAGATAGTTGGAAGGAATTGGTCGATGGATTCTTGCAGCTTGGCTCACCAGACGTGACCTGCTCATTTGCTCATGCCGAAACCAAACCTTGAGCAGTGGCAAATGCGGCTGATGTTAGCTTCGGAAGCAATATTCCAATATCCAATTCCAGTGGTTTTTTCCGCTCCTTTTGGTGTTTCATTGGGTGAGACTGCCTATCTCACGTCTAGAAGTCCCACAAAAACTTGAAAAAGGCCTGATGATTTCGTAAGAATTATATACAGTAATTACTGCATTGAAGCGTGTTGGCACTGGTCTCATGAAAGTTTCCGCCCCAAAGCAAAAACTAGGCACCAAACCTGGTCCTTGCTGCCCCACAGATGGAACAATGCCTTGAGCTACCTGACAGAAAATGTAAAATCCACCATGTTCAGGTTGATGATGCTTGTTGTTCCTCTCAAAGGCACACGTTTTTTGGTTGCCGTAGCATTTACCATATTTACCATTAGTTTACCCACTTCTTAAAAAGGCGAGTGTTTCCAGATGTTTCCAGCTTATGTTCTTTCTTAGATGTTGTGAATGAACAATTTTCACCCGCTTCTTGCGTCATTTTTTCGTTTCTAACGGGACCTCGGACTCCGACGCAGCGGACAGGAAGGATTCGGATCGGCTGCAACGGGTGGTCTCGCTGGTGGATGCTCGCGTGGGGGTGAAAGCTTCGGATGAAGCTTGGAACAGCTGGGCCAAACGGGGCCCCTGGGCCCCTGGGCCCCTGGGCTGTGGGATCAATTTGAGATTTGGCAATATGTGTGAAAATTGTTTTTGCTGATTTGTTGCTATGCAATTATGGATATTATGGCGATTTGTGATCATTTGTGGCTAAAGAAGGCAATCTCCTTTGAATTTATGAGGATGGGCTGACATTGACAGCCACATCGCACCAAGGAAGAGCTGTGGGAGTTGCTCCTGGAGCGTGAGCGGCCGTTCATGGTGGTGCTCACCAAGGTGCTGCAGTTGTTTTGATTGCTGGGAAGCAGCTGGGGAAGCGGTATATACAGGCGAGTGGCGAGGAACCATTGGGAAACCCCTGACTAGAGCATGAAAGTCAGGGGGGGCCCTTTGGGACCTTCAGGCTTTGGCACCCATCAATAATACTTTTTTTCATTGACTTCAATAATTCAAGCACGGCCAGTTGATTCTTGTTGACGCTGACAGGCTGACCAGTGCACACCAGACATTCTGAACAGATCCATGGCGCACGTGGTGTGTCATGGCAGCAAGGGGATATCTTGGCTCAACGGGACAGTGGGCTCAGCATGCCAAGCCTCATTTGACATGTCCGGTATTGTTTTTGGGTGGCTCATGTGGAGAAATCTGTTGTGATCGGGGGAAGGCATTGCTTCTTTTTGCTTCACTACCTCAAAGTTGTTTCTCAAATCCTACCATGGAGTTAATATCTTATTATATCACAATATATCACATACATATATACATACGTTAAGTAATCATATGTATTAATGTTACATCAAGCTTCAGTTTCATCGCACTGTTCAGCCCTTGGTCCAGGTCTCATTTATGAGCAGAAAAAAATGAAAATCGTGATGTTATACATCTATACACTTCTATGATATCTCCACTTCTTGATCCCTAGTTAATGCCCCACAGACCATCCATATTTTGGTGGTATATATCCCCTTACATAGCCCTTACGTAAATTTCAAAAGAAAAGTAGGTACCTCCAATAAGCCGGTTCCTGAAATGGAGGTTTCCTGAGTCATAGGGGGTACTCCCAAATCATCCATATGTATCCATATGTTTTTTTTTCGGATTTTCCATGAAATAAACCATCCATTTTTTGGGATACCCCCATTTATGGAAAGCCCTAAATAACCATTGACCTAGGTCTCATTTGGAAATGATGCCCTCCACCTACGTCTGGCCCTACGTCCACGCGGTCAGCGGCCTGCGCGGTCACGGGGTGGATGAGCTGAGGGCCTCCGTCAGCATGGTGGCCTCGGTAGCTTGACGGCTTGTGGAGCTGAGGAAGGGGTTGTTTGGTATTTACCCTTTGGCAACTTAACATAGCTATGGTGATTTACCATGATTTACCTATGAAATGGAGATATAGCTATGCTATGTTTTTTATATTTAGCCTTTGGGCATTTAACTAGCTATGGTGATATAATGAATCACTATAATTGATGAGGATTAGTGAGAATGAATGGGGATTTGCTCTTTGATGATTTAACGTAACTATAGAAGCCATGGCCGATTTCGTTCGATGATTTACCTATGAAAAACTGTGATTTTCCATAGCATGGTGATTTAATGGAGATTCATGGAAATATTCTGGTGTATTACCGTATTCTAGTGATTTAATGCGTAAATCATCTTTAATATCCTACAGTAATTATATAAAATTATGACGTACTATCTGGATGAATTTCATCATGACCTCCCTTTCTAAAACGTCACATCCTTCATGATGATTAGGACTCGGGGAATCATCCCATTATATAACGCTGGCGGGAGATGATTTTTCGACTATTTTTAGGTTAGTGAATTATTACCCTCTGGTAAATAAACATAGACCCTGAAAATCACCAATTTTTAATGGTAACTAGTCTTCCAACCCCGATGACTGCCAGGTTCTATGTTAATTTACCAGAGGGTATACTCCAGCCAGATTGATGTAAACTACGGTATCCCATTTTGGTAAAGTATCCCAGCTTGGTAAGGTTTGTTTGATCTGTAGATAGCTTAGCATCTTATGGTGATACGACAAAATCAATATAGTGAGATACAACCAACTTGTTTTATCCAGGGGAATCGAATGGGACTCTTTGATGATTGATGGAGGTTTAATTAACAAATATGGAGATACTAATGTGACAGGATCTATATAATGAGAATATTACGCATGGTGTATATCACCAACTATGTCCAATTTGGATATATTTGGATGTGTCTGAAAAAGAGGCATACATACCCCGCAATAATACAATTTGAATAGGACATCATGATTAGCCAACGCCTTAGCCATTTCCTCTAGGATGGGATGATCGTTGGGGATGAACTTTTTTATTTTGCCAAAACAAAGTGGCTAAAAAAATGGAATTTGATGGGAAGATCACCAACATTAACCAACTATATTTGAAGATTTAATGGGATTTATATAATGGGATTCTGGAGTTACATGGAGGTTGGATTTGGCTTTGATTGATCATGGGAACATCATGGAACATCCATAGGATGTTTTTCGCAGGCGTCATTAATGATATTGGGCTGTGTATGAAAATTGCGTGAATGTCAATGTATTACACACCCTCTGGTAAACGTTTACATAACTATGGAAAATCACCATTTTTAATAGGTAAATCAACTATAAATGGGCCATGACAATAGCTTTTTGTATGTTTACCAGGCCGGGTAATGCAATCTTAATGGGGGAATTGATGATTCACCAATGGATTTGGGGGAACCCAAGGTTCAGACAAATCCATGGGAAACCAACAGGGAATGACATCAGCATATATTTGATGCTCAATCGAAGGGGAAGTAGAACCAACAGAAGGGTGGGGTTTTAAAGCTGTTGGGTTCATCATACAAATTTGCCAAGATGTGATGGATGGGGGTGATTTGAATGGTGATATTTGAGGATGTGAAATTCTCCGCCTGTGACTGTCCAACGTGGATTTTGCTAACAACAATGGAGGTTTACCGTTCAAAATAATGTGTATTTGCAATTATTTGATTATTTGCGTGTCTTTGCAGTAAACTAATATAGCTATGGAAAATGGACCATATGTAGTATGTAGACGATTGTCCTATTAAACTAGTCATTTTCCATAGCTATGTGAGTTTACCAGAGGGTAATTATCAAACATGAGAAAGTTGGAATTTGTCGCAGAGAACCCAGGGCACCCTGGTGAACAATGTGAACAATGTGGTACCATGGTAAACCCAATGCCATAAACCATTTTCAATAGAGGTGTAGTGAAATTGGGCCAGTATGCCCCCACTCGGGATGGTATACCCTATGGTTATTTAACATAGCCATGGTATAGATGGCCCATCTATAGATGGTTTACCGGTTTACCTATTAAAAATGGTGATTTTCCATGGCAAACTGTTAGTCACAAACCAGATGGTAAACTCCAAATATGCCCTACTTTGGTTGGTTAATGGCATGGTTTATGGTTCCCATTGGTTCCCAATCTAAGGACTTCATCACAGCCAGAGCCAGAAAAGAGTCGTTTGCGCGACTAGGATGTTGTGGGGACCATTGAGAGACTAGCAGGTTGATAGTTGGACGCGGGGGACTAGCAAACAGAGTTCAGATTAGTCGTCTGGGTTTTGGAGTTGGAATCGTGTCAAATTTTGATTGACTATAGCTTTGTGTGGGTGTATAGCTGGTTGTCTTGAGCACTGGGAGCGAAGTGCCAACTGGCCGACTTGACGGGCGAAATGCTTTGCGGTAGGCTGTAACCTTGGCTTGCACTTGGCAGAAGAATTGGAGGAAAGAATTTGCAGGGCACTGGGTGGAGCGGGGCTTGGGGGGGTTTCCCACCTAGCTACATTGAACAGATATTTCTGATTAAATAGCATTGCAAACGTTCACTGAATCTTCTACCGGAACACATTTCAAGACCCCATGTAGTTTGGTTCAACCACAACCTCTGCTATTGCAATGTAATTAAGTTTGTTTTATGACAAGCAATGGCCAATACAGGACAGACCCATGCAATTGAGCACTAGCAAATCCTTAGCCTTCGCTTGGGCACTTCTTGTCCTTGGGGGGCTACTTCAACAGCATGTACCTGTGAAAATCAACATGTATGAAGCCGTATGTACAACTTGATCTCAGTGGCCACCTGATTCTTTCGCAATGTTGCCTTGAATTCCTGCGACGAGAACCAGGCCAGTAGCATGCGAAACGCCCTTTGCCATATTTCACAGTCGACCCCGCGCTGGGCACGCCGCGGAGAAGGCTAACGCAGGCAACACCTAGAGCATTAGCGGCAGTTGCCTTCGTCAAGATGGCAACTCACCACGGGCGTTCGAATCCTTGCCTTCATGGGGAAAGCTCTCAACTTGGGGAAGCTTGCCGTCAAGGCACGCCCGAGCCACTGGGAGCAGCAAGCTGCAGCAATGCCCTCTCATTCAACCCTCATGCTCAGTCCTGTAGCTGTTTCAAGCACGGCTTGCAGAACACTACCAATTCCATTTTCATTTGCTAAGCCTGCTAAGCGGGAAATTAAAACAGGCCAGCCCTAGAAAGGCAGAGGCTACAGCAAAGAGCAAACAGGAGCAGCGGCTTGGGTGCCAAAGCTTTGCACAACGCTGGTTGAAAAAGAGCATTGCTACGATGGACCTTGAACTTTGCATGTCTCAAACGGCAACAGAACAGGGACCAGAGTCTGTTTCTGCATTGCTTCCATATATGCCTGGCAGACGCGTTGATGCAAGAAGCAGAACCGGATGGAATGAGGAAAACACCATGACCTCAAGCCTTTTAGGCTTGCATTAGTGCCGATGTAGTAGAAGTAGTATTCAAGATTGCTTCATGCCGCCATTCAACCTTTTGGGGTTTTCAAGCAAGTCCTTGCTGCGGGTCCTTCAGCTGAGACTTGGGAAGCACCTAGGCCCTTTCCAGAAACGAGAAAAAAACTTTTTTTTTGCTGTTTTTTTTACTGTTTTTGCGTGTAATTTTTCATCGGGGCTTTGGGTGGAATGGTTTCATCGGGGCTTTGGGTGGAAATGGTTCGTTCGGGGCTTTGGGAGGAAGATTTGAATCTTGTACGAGTAAGGAGCTTGAACGGGGCATTCGGAGGAAGGCCGCCGCTAGCCCTTTGAGCGGGGCAGTGGGTGGAGCCAAGCCATCGGGGCTGTGCGAGGTGATTTCGTACGTTTTCAAAAATGAAAATTTGCACTGAAAACTGGCGCCTGGTGCCTGCAATGGCCGGAATTTATTTCATCCCCGTCTTGGTGCAGGTGCGACTGTGTAATATTTAAAAGCGTACATGCCTCTTACCAGATATACATACATACATTTTCAAAATGGCAGGGTAGGCGTCCGTCTGCTGCCGACGCATAGCAGGAGGCTCCGTAGAAACCTATAGGCGGGTGTGTAGGCGCGGAAGCGGAAAGCTAGCAACAGTCAGCAGCGTTGCTGTTCCTTAATTATCCTCCATCTCATGGCCGAAATACATCTCTCCACGCTAAAGCTGATCTGCGCCTTGAATTTCGAGTATCCGGGTGTCATTGTTGAATCGAAGCGCTCTCCTCGTCACCCTGGCGCCGTTAGAAGGGAATGAAGACTTTGACGCCCTGAGCTCAGCAACAAACATACTGTATGTCGCCGCGGTTGCTGGTTTTTCTGCAAGCAAGAGAAGAAAGCTTCCACCCCGCACTGGGAAAGGAGGAAGGCTTCAGCCGGCGCCGGGAGGAGAGCCGGCGCCGGGAGGGAGACCCGGCGCCGGGAGCGAGACCCGGCGCCGGGAAAAAGAGAATCCTCCCAACCCGGCGCCGGGAAGGAGGAATCCTTTCACCGGGAGAAGAAGAATCTTTCAAAAGAAGAAATCGTCACATGCTGATGGCAAGAAATAAAGCCTGTCTCCCAGCACCTAGAAAGATAAAACTTAAAAACCTTTTCAGGGTCTCACACACGGACAACCACATGATCAATGAACATATACATTTATATACTGCTGAGCTTGCCGCGCTGTCTTCTGTGTCCACTTCTGTCGGGAACAATGCCAAAAACTAGCTGGCTCATAGCCGACTCGAAGACGCCCGCGGACGACGATGGCCTAATGACCCCCCAAACGTTGTGTCCACCATCATTTACCTTGCACCGTCCGAGGCCTCTTCTCATTCTACACATTCTAAAAAAGTTGAAACTAAGCAGAAAAGTGAGCCTAAGGGAAGCAAGATTTGTTTTTCCCGCTCTAATTATAAATGGGCATCTGCCATGAACACGGGACAAGTACTTTCGCACATAACGGCTATTTCTTGTTTTGTATCAGTGCTCGGGTGGAAAAAGTGTGTTTCACCACCCATAGCCCTGCTACGCTGGAAGCCCTGCTGATTTGGTTCTCTGAAAGAAACATGAACTTGGGATGGAAGAAGTATGTTTGCAACAAGCACTCTGGCCTCTGCAACTGATCTCACCAATGAAATGATGCAAAGCAAAAACATGTTAAAACATGTTAAAACACTTTGAATTGTGGAAGTGTTGTTGTGTTGTAAGTTTGCATTCTATCCGTTTCGAAGTGCAGAGTTTTTTGTTACGCAGCGCCCACCATGGCGCAGCCCATGGTAGTTTGCGTCACTGGGGCGAGTGGCTTCATTGCCTCTCACATTGTGGCCTGGTTCAGAGCCATTGCACATGGTTCCAGATATGTTTCCGAAAATGGGGGATCCCCAGTCGTCACCATGGGTTTCAATATGTTTAAATATGTTTCAATATGTTTCAATACTAAAATGGTCCAATGACTTAGATGACTTGGGGCGCTTGGGGGGTGCCCCAATGACTAAGGAAACCTCCATATGATTCACCAAAATTGGACGGCCAACAGATGATCAGATGATCAGCTGTTGCTTCCCCAATGTCTTGATGTGTTGCTTGGTTTTCACTACAAAGATAAAATTATAACTGGTTGGTGGTTTGGAACATTTTTTGATTTTTCCATATATTGGGAATAGTAATCCCAGCTGACTATTTTTTTTCAGAGGGGTGGCTCAACCACCAACCAGATAAACATCTAAAGATTCAACCCCATTCAACCCCCAGATTAAACCCGGACCAAGAATTGGGAGGTCACCCCCAAGATAGTGATAAATTACTATAATATAGGGTACTACAATGTGGTAAACCCAATAATAAACCTACCATTTGGGGATGAGAGTTACTATCCATTCATAGTCCATTATAGTGATATTAGGATGGTTTAGCACTACTCAGGTCAAGCAGATGCTCGAGAGAGGCCACACTGTACGCGGCACAGTGCGGGATGCGCTGGACAGTCGCAAGACGGAACACCTGACGCTTGAATGTGCCATGATGTGCCATCGAAAATGGGGATTTAACCATCATTCATAGGGGGTGTAACCATCATACATATGGACCATATGGAGATATAATCAGTTGATAACTGATGGTTGGTTGGTTATCTGGTTGGTGGTTTGGAACATTTTTTTATTCTCCATAATATATGGGATATCATCCTTCCCATTGACTTTCATATTTTTCAAGATGATTATTGCACCACCAACCAGTTATGATTTGATACTGTTTGGGACAAAAAACTACCTGGTTTTTCACAAGAATGATTGCAACATATTGCAACCCAAAAAAAGGATGTGAACCAGCCAGGATCAGATGGGATGTAACGACGCCCATCACACTCAGGTATGTAGATAATACTGTAGCATATATATACCCTCTGGTAAACATACAAAAAGCTATTGAAAATGGCCATTTATAGTGGATTTTCCCATTAAAAATGGTGATTTTCCATTGCTATGTTAGTTTACCAGAGGGTATATATATATATATTATGTATATATATATATATATACATGTGTGTGTGTTTATATTTAATTTATTACACATTACATGTGATGCTTCGTTTACTATACATATTTATATACCACATCCAATATCGAATATGTAGTTTTCATCAAATGTAGAACATTTTTTATGTCATTACATCATGTGTTATTTATATGTTTTCTGTTTTTTGAACTGTTGTTTCATATATGGGTATGGATCAATACCTATTAATACCATTTTTAGGGGAATGAACATCCATTTACCAGCTATTTTGATGTGAACAAAAGGGGTACAAGGTTTTGACACACTGCCATATCGATGTTTAAGTATACAGTATATCATATTGTTTCATGAATCGAATCAGAAAAGGGTCACCAAGGATGGCCTTGCCTGGAGCTGCTGAGCGCCTGAAGCTCTTCTCAGCCACCTTACTGGAGGAGGGAGCCTTGGATCATCTTGGATCCAAGTGAGCTGGGGCCTGGGGGCCATCCCAGAGATGGAGTGGAACGTAGTGGAACGGAATGTGGAACGGATGACTGGCTTCAACTCTGACTTGGAAATGTATGGAAATGATGCGAAATGGCTGAAAAAGTCAGCAAAATTCTGTGTATGAAGATTGTGAATGATTGGAATGGTTGGCAAAGGGCTGGCAGCTGCATCTGCAGTCCGAACAGCCTCTTTGAGGGCTGGTCAGTTGGAATTTCACCATCAATACATGAACACGAAGTTGACCCAAATATATATACCAAACCAACAAAAATAACTAATGAATAAAGATGAATTAAGAATAAACATGATAAACCCCAAAATGGCTTGAGGATCCTATCGTTTCCCAAGACGACCCTTGGCATTGGGCGCCCAGGATCCTTCGACGAGGCCATTAGCGGCTGCCAAGGCGTTTTCCACGCCGCATCACCCTTGGTGCCCGGCAAAGGCGGCCCCAAACTGGGGTGGTTTCTTCGGGTTTTCTTGGCATGATTTTTGATGGTTTTATGGCATATCATCTGGTTATGGTTTACCTATTAAAAATGGTGATTTTCCATGGCTATGTTAAATAACCAGATGGTATCACTTTATGGCATATCATCTATGGTTGTTGATGATTTTAGATGATTTTTGATGATTTGTGTATCACTTTTCTATGAAGGTTTATGTTTTGAGGTGGGACAGCACCAGCAGGGTAGCAGCGATCTTGGACCAAGAAGCTGGCAAAGTCATGGGCCCTTGTCTTGGTGTGGGCAAGGAACAGGCGAGTGTCTTTGAATGCCGACAACTAGTTATATCTACATATAGATACATATTTACTTTATTTATTTATCTATTTGTTTATTTATTTATGTTGATCGGTTTCGTTTTTGCTGTCTTGGTTGTTGATGTCAACTAACCCTACTTTGTGATCACAAATGGCATACACAATTTACAACACCGATTTCTTCCTTCACAATCCTCGCGTTTTTTGGGATTGCCTGTTCTTTACCCTTTGTGAACGTAATATAGATTTGGAGACCCCCCATGTGTGGATGATTTCTGGTATCATAGAACTTTATGATCATTGTATCATAGGATTTCTATGCCTGCATCATAGACTATAGAGTTTCAGCCCTCCCCATCTCACCGAATTTATGTGGATTCAGCCAACTCCCCTCCGGTGACCATCAGGGCTCACTATAAAACCAACAAGCACGTGTATTAATGTTCTTATTTGGTTGATATTTCCTTTGTATGTCCCATCACATGTTCAAATGGATCCGTTATAATTTGGTTGTATAAACAATTATCATATAATTATGTTTTCCCATTATATGTTCCAGCAACCGCGTTTGTATGGTCTTCTGTTCCACATTCCACCGCATTTCATTGGTCCAACCAGTCCATTATATGTCCTATCATATCTCCCATCACATATCCCATTATACATCCATGTGTACACATATATATATATATATACATACATACACATACAAGCATACATACATAGTGTGCATATGTGTACATATTTATATAATTATATATATATGTATATGTATATGTGTGTGCGTATACATTCTGTCCCACCATTGTTGGCGAAATCCATCGATTTTAAGTCTCCGGGGATAGGCGTCGAGGACCCAGAGACATTGGTCTTGCGGCCAGCTGTGGAGGGCACGCTGAACGTGTTGAGATCATGCGCCCCGGATGCCGGTGATGGCAGGGGATCCACCGTTATACCCGGCCTGGTAAACATACAAAAAGCTATTGAAAATGGCCATAGAAATAGTGGATTTAGCCATGAAAAGCATGGTGATTTTCCATAGTTATGTGGCTGTTTACCAGAGGGTAGATATGTATAGACAATAGACAATATATATAATATATTATATATATAACCCCCAAAAAGATAGAAAAGTAGTTTATCACTTTTTTAGTGGCAAGATGTGGCAAGTTGTTTTTCTATCCTTTTGAGGTTGCTACAATTAGTGGAATATGATTGGGATATCATGATACGATGGGATATTATGGAATATTCATGGGGTAGTTAGCGGGGTATATTGTTGTTATTTGTTAATACTTTTCGGTGTCATCAAACGTGGCTAGATGGGAAAATCATCGAACTACATGATGGATTCGCCAGCCATGTTTGATTACAGGGTAGTGAACCTGAGGGATTGCTAACGCTGCTGCTTCCAATTTCGTCCTTTTATTGTGTGTGTGTGTTTTCCATGATTATCATTTGTTTGCCAATTAATTCTACTAGGTGTCCCTCAAGTTTCCTAAATGATCCATCAAGTTTCCCCTCATCCCAGACAGATTTACATTGCCAACCACGGATCTGCATGGTGAGGAAAAAATCCAGACCCAGAGCCCCAGCCTCAGTTACCCCAACCCCAGCCAACGTCCCGACCCAAGGCAAAAAGGCCGGCAACGTCCGGTCGCTGGTCGTCACTTCCAGCATGTCTGCGGTGGCGCCCAACCCAGAGCCACCAGTCTCTTGGCACCTTAAAAATGCTGGTTTAAGTATCAAAAATTGTGATTTTACCAGATAAAATGGAGATTTTTCGCAGCAAGAAGTGTTGTTGAACCATGTTTGCATCCCTATTGGCGGCAATTATTTGGCATTCCCTGGGCTCAGGTGAAATCCGAGGACCATTGGTCGGACCCAGAAGAGTTCCTGGGATCTTTTTTTTGGGGTCGTGGGACGGGTTGAAGTTAGGGTCTCAGATCCACCAGATGTGTTTCCTTCTGACATATCCCCGGGTTGAACTTTAATGTAGCTATATGTAGCTATGGAAAACCATCATTTTTCGTAGGTAAATCATCTAGATATGGGCCATCTATACTATGCAAGGGTAGTACTATCATTTTGGTTGAATTTGGGGATGGCCGACCTTTACCCTTGGATGTTTGATGATGCACACGATGCCTCTATATTGATCAGTTTTTCTGGCAATTGATGCAGGGATGTCTTTGGGGGGCTGTTTGTACTGGTATGGCATGTCAGAGCTGCCACCGTACAAATCTGACCATTCTGTGGGCTAAAATCGGATCCAACAGCCAGCCTCATCCCAAGGCCACTTTTGGCACGCATTCAGTCCACTTTTCCAGTTTCTCATCAGTTGGTTCCCATTTTCCAGCTGAATTATCCACTCCTCTCAAATATCCCATCCGCAAGTCCCATTATCTGCATGTCTCTGGGCTATTCAAGAAAATGTTATTCTCATCCGTTCAGCAGTTGTTCCATCTTCCAACATCTTAAATCCTCACGTCCGGCCAAAAAATCCCCTCCTTTCTCTCCGATTTTTTTTTTGGCGCGAGGCAAAAGGCGCGTGGCAGCTTCTACGGTGCTTCCAAGACCCTGGCGGAACGGGCGGCGTACGACTTCGTGGCCAAAGAGATGCCAAGCGACGTGGCAGAATCCCAATGGTTTGATGCTGTGTGTCTACCAATGCCATACAAAACACCAGCATTTTGGGGATGGTTTATACTACACCACCCATTGCAATCCATTTATGGTGATTTTGGGGATGCTTTATTTTTGGGTAAAAAAAACTTTACCACATTATGCTTCTAGATGGCCTTGTCAATAGTTTATGATTCTATGATGGTTTATGACTCCTTCTTGTTGATGGTTTATGTTTTGGATTGATGGTTAATGTTCTGGATAGTGGTGTGTCAAAACCTGTTACCATATGATTCACATCCATTGGTCCATTCACCACCTATTTTGATGTCATGATATGCATGTATAATCATGTATATATATATATACAATATATATGTGTGTGTGATATATGGGCTGTAGATGTATGTATATGCTGCATCCATAGGTGGATCCCATGGTGAAGATTGGGGCATACAATCAACTGAACCCCTAGTGGTTTAAGAGCTTCTCATGGAAGCCATGGCCCACTTACAGATGATTTATCATGATTTATCTATTAAAAATGGTTATATAGTTTACTGGAGGGTTATATCAGATTGATGGTCGTGAATGAGGTTTTGGAGTTGTGTTTTCTCAAGAAGATGGCCGTAGCACGTTCCATGTTAATCTTCAACGGAGTATCCATTTAACTCCATCACCAATTTAGCGATGTAAAACTGACCAAGTTTTGGATATGATCAACCAGGAAACTCGATAGAGCCGGGATGGGATCAATTCTCAGTGAATATCATCGAGAGAGATACTACGGTGTATAGATGTTGTCTCCGTTTGCCTTGCTACTGGATGTAAGGACACTTGGATTGTCACTTAGCAAACATATAAACATGCGTAGGAAAGGATGATTTGAAGATAACAACTGACAGGATATGTCTAAAATTCCCCAAACTCCAACCCTAAACCCCACACATGGCACACACTCGTTGCAGCACCTTGCCAGGTACCCGTTTGGCCACCATTTGCCCAACCATGGTGCTGGGACCTATGTTGCAACCCGAGGCCTGGGACCTTCATGGAGAATCATGGATTTTACCATGTTTGATTTCCTGAGGGAATCAACTAAAACAACCAAATATGACCATGGGATGTTGGCCTAGGTGAATATGACCATGGGATCTTTTCGGAGCCTCAGCCGCAGCATGGCCACAGCCAGGCTAAGCCGTTTGGGGTGTGTAGAAAATGCAAAAAAAACATAAACCAACCGTAAAATGGGGGTATAGTTGCAGTATAGTTCAAAGAAAAGGATACACGGAGGCTATAATTGAGGATTTGTCGTGAAATATCTTATCGACAACATTGATTTGGGTCCGTTCAAAAATGGTTAATTCACTACCCCAAATAAATATTGCAAATTGAATGGGGAACGAGAGGTCTTCGCAGTTCGCAATTTTTGAACAGTCCAGTATTCTCCAATGATTTGTTTGTTTTTGTGGTCTAACTAATGTTTCAACTTCCCCCAATACAGCGAGGTTTTCATTGGTTTGCCCAGAATATTGAAGCTTAGCAATTGAAATCGATTGCACCTGAGTATGAATAAGCTACGAATGCACACATGGATATGCAATGATATGCATACATCATATCCGCATAATCTACCATATACAATAAGATACAGTACATGAGGATACATGTGCAATTTTATTATTGTAGTGTTATAATATACTAGTTGTTTTATATATATATATGCATATTTACAGATAGATAGATAGATAGATAGATAGATAGATAGATAGATAGATAGATGTGTGCGTGTGTATGTAATGTAATGTAATGTTAATGTTAATGTAATGTAATGTTATGCTATGCTATGCTATGCTATGTACATGGAGATATGTGATGTTTGTGTGTCCTCCACAGCCCCAGGAACTGGCTCTTGAAGGGCGTCGCGGGGCCGGATGGAAAGTGCCGCAACGACTCCATGAGTTTCGTCGACGTGCGCGACTGCGCTGCGCAGCATGTGGCAGCCATGGAGTTGGAGAAGGAAGGACGCTTCATGAGTTTCTGAATGGGAAAAAAGGGGAATCCCCATGAAGATTCGTGATTTAATGGGATTAAATGGGAGTTAATTGGATTTAGCTGGATTTTATGATGGAAATTCATTGGGATTGATATTAAAATTATTAAATACCCTCCCGTAGTTTAACAAAAGCTACTTGTATGGAAGATGGCCCATTTAATGGTTTGGTTGGATGATTACCATTTAAGAATGCTGATTTTCCATATAAAGCTGTGTCAAATTGCCAGAGGGTACCCCAAAATGACGAAATCGCATCATGTTGAAATGACGGCAGACCATTTTTTGGGGTATCCCCCAGTTTAACAACCCAGGTGAGTATGGATCAAGTTTCTGTATACGCACTGCGCACCATTTATTTAATTCTTATCTTATATTAATCAATTTATACAGATATTAGAGACATACTCCAGACATAAGGCAGGCTGGAGCCTAAGGCTTGGATCGCAGCCTTCACTGGAATGACTTGGCGCTGCTGATGAAGGACAGAGGTGGAGGTGGGTGAACACACCGTAACACACCCAGTGAATATTAAATGATGTTAAGGAAAAAAGGAAACATCAATCAATCCATTAGCAATCCATGGGATCAAATATGTCATGAAATTTGGTGATATTCCATCAACATGTTGGTGACCGTGGCATAACGAGACGGTATCAGATTCAGCATCATTCGAACAAAGGCCTTCAAGCTCCTCAAATCGGATTCCAGGGGCTACCTTGAAGCAGATACCTGAGTTCCGTGACCAAGTTTGCTGGGTTTTCTTTTTCAAGAGCTAATAACTTGTCAGCTTCCCCATAGTCATATCATGTCTTGTCTCCTCTCAAGGGAAGACCAAAGCAAATTGAGATGAAATATACAAGTATATCTAAATCTATCTAAATCTATATATAGATATATACTTTATATACATACATATTATGTGTATATATATATGTGTGTGTGTGTGTATGCTACCGGGTTTCTTCAGGACAGGTAAGCCATAGAATTCCAGAGGGAATGATCACCAGGCTGTGCCTGGCTCCGTTTTCACAGGAGCTGTATCCTGCCATGCCTTCTGCCGAGCCTTTCAACGGGGAACTGTGCAAGGTGACCGAGTTCGACCGGACACGACAAGAGAGCTGCTTCAACAGCAATGGGCATAGGTCAATATTAGAGGAAACCGAAGAAGATGCCTATACGAAACATTACTGAAGCATCAAAGTTACTGCATTTGTATGCATTTGTCATGTATTACTAGATATGGTGATATTTTTTCTTTGACACAAACGTGAGGTATACGAGATATAGGTGGATATATATACATATATATATATATTTATATAGTATGATTTCTCCCTTGGGCGCCTAGGTTTGGGCGTTCCCGTGCGCAAAATCCCGGAGATTTTGAAGGAGGCAGCAGACGAGCTGAAGCGCCTTCAGGCTGCAGGTGACCATCAAATCCCCACATGTTGTAGAGGATTTTTAAAGCTCAATTTATAGGGGATTATATCATATTATATCTGTATTTTTTAGAGATATAGATATATAATGATATATAGCGGATTTCCCATTGCCACCTCTGACCAAAGGATAGTCAGTTCAATTCATGTTCGTCCCTTTGGGTTGATTCATTCTGCAGGGGCATCCCGGAAGAGTGACAAATAGATACAAATAGCATGAAGGTATGTAATACGTGGTTGTTATTCCTGGGTTGCATCGTGAAACATGTTGCCAGTGGCAAAGCATACCCCTGATTGATTACCTTTTTTGGGACGTTTGTGCCTAAGTGTCACCTTCAGTGATTTGCTCACTTGAGCAGTGCCAAAAAGACAGTCAGGGACTGTGTAAAGAATTAAAGAAATGCTATTAAACAAGAAAATAGTTTCAGATTTTCGGGTAAAGAACAAATACTTATAAGACTCTATTTGGAAAAAAGAATCTGTCAAAGTACGTAATGCCAAGTTCGTTTTTCCATAACCCCCAGAAGGTCTAAATCCATGAGAAGGTTTTCACCCCAAATAATCAACAGCAAAACCAAAAATGGTATTCGTGACATTTGGAATGGGATTCGTGAGATTTAGTATGACAAATGCTGTGAACCCATTAGTTTTTCAATGGGATTCATGGGATTTAGTACGAGAAATGCTTTAAAACCCACTGGTTGTCCATTTCTTCCATTGGGCTTCCATCGGTTTTCCATTGGTTTTCCATTAGTTGTTTAATCACATTTAATCACAAAATTAGGATTTTCCAGAAGGGTGTTGTTTAGCAGGGGGTGACCACCCATGTTGATTAATAGGGAGGAACCAACCCAAAGTAGTATTGCCAAAAATGTTTGGAATGTGGGTGATTAATTCGGGGGGTGCTTAATTGATATGAACTTAACATTATTTAATATGGAATTTCCTTTGGGTACAGTAACTTTACAGGGGCATAGGAATGGGGGCATGGCCGGCTCAGAAGGGATAGGTTTAGGGATGGCCAAAGGGTCATGGATGGGCCATGGTCCATGGTTAAGAAACATGTTAGACTTTAACCTAAAATGCGTATTGCTTATCACACGCCTCAGCCGTAGGATCAAAGGGTTGGTCATGCATGGTGATACAGTATTGTAAGTCAACGCAAGTTGTACTACCGTATACTTTTGGTGGAAAATCATGATTATCAAAGGAAGTTGGCAAGCAATCTTCCGAGTTACGGACAAATACATTTGTGTGACTTTGTGAAGTGGGTTGACTTAGTGAAATGGTGACTTTGAGACTTTGAGAAGTGGTGACTAAGAGAAGTGATGGCTTTGTGCAGTGGGTTGACTTTGGGAAGTGGTGACTTAGGGAAGTGATGACTTGGAGAAGCGGTGACTTAGAGAAGTGGAGAAGTGGTGAATTTGTGACTTTGTGAAATGTGTGTAGTTCTATGATCTTGTGGAATCCGCGGTTGCAGATCGCATTGGAGTGGCTGTATGATTGTTTCCATGTTGTGCTGCCATGTGCGTAGATACATTTTGGTTTGCCACTTGGTGGTGCAGATCACATTGTAATGGCCGCATGAATGTTGCAAGGGGCTTGTGTTGGGGAGGATGCCGGAGCGCGAAACATTGTGTTTTGTTTGCATGTTTTTGGGCGTAAAGTGGCTGCAGGTGAAGGGCAGCTGCTTTGTGCGGGCGGGCGCGGGCAGTTCGTTTCGATGTTTTTTTTTGCCGCGTAGATACATTTTGGTTTGCCACTTGGTGGTGCAGGTCGTACTGTAACAACTGCATGCGTAATTCTATGGTCTTTTGCAGCTGGGCATCACAAATCGTATTGGAGTGGCTGCATGAAGGTTGCGATTCCGATGGTGATTTGTCAGCAGACTTTTCTTAATTTTGGCGCTGACCGGCTGACCATTTTATTTTTAAATCCATTAAAAAAGTATTTTTTAAAAAAAGTGCTTCAAAATCGTCCTTCTTTCGTTTCGGCGCCCAGATTCGGTTTTGGAGCTGCAATTTCTGTTGACATTGCGTGTAAAAGTTTCTGTGTGTAAGAAGTTCCTCTGTGTAAAGCTTCTGTGTGTAAAAGCTTCTCTTTGCAAAGGCTTCTGTGTGTAAAAGTTTGCTGTTTGTAGAAGCTTGCTGTGTGTAGTAGCTTCTCTATGTAAAGGTTTTTTGTGCAAAAGCTTTCTGTGTGTAAAAGTTTGCCGTGTGTACAAGTTTTCTGTGTGTAAAAAGTGTAAAAGTTTGTCTGCAAGAGTTTGCTGTGTGTAAGAGCTTCTGTGTCGTGTCTAAACACTTGCCGTGTGTAAAAGCTTCTCTGTGTACAGGTTTCTGTGTGTAAAAGTTTGCTGTTTGTAGAAGCTTGCTGTGTGTAAAAGCTTGCTGTGTGTAAAAGCTTCTGTCTGTGTCTAAATGCTCGCTGTGTGTAAAAGTTTCTGAGTGTAAAAGCTTGCTGTGTGTAAGATCTTCTGTGTGTAAAAGCTTCTCTGTGTAAGAGCTTGCTGCGTGTAAAAGCATTTGTGTGCAAAAGCTTCTGTGTCTAAAACTGTTTCTATGAAAAAGCTTCTTTGTGTAAATAGCAAAAAATCGCAGTTTCTAAGAGTTTTCGGTGTAAAAACTTCTCTGTGCGAGTTTTGTAGTATGAAGTAGTACTGCGAAGCGCTTTGTGCAAACTTTGTTGTATGAAGTAGTACTGGTAAGTACTTTGTGCAAGCTTTGTAGTACAAAGTAGTACTGGGAAGTCCTTTGTGCAAGTCTTGTTATTACAAAGTAGTACTGGGAAGTGCTTTGCACAAGCTTTGTAGTACAGAGTAGTGCTGAGAAGTACTTTCTGCAAGCTTTGCAGTACGAAGTAGTACTGAGTACTGGGAAGTACTTTGTGCAAGTCTTGCAGTACAAAGTCGTACTGGGAAGTACTTTGTGGATTCTGTTGCCATTCTGTGCGTACAAGGGTCTCTGTGAAAACGCTTCTCTCTGTGTAAAAGCTTCTGTCTGCAAAATCTTCTGTGTGTAACGGCTTCTCTGTGTGAAAGGTTCCCCATGTGTAAATCTGTTTGATTCTTTTTGTGCCTACTGTAAAAAAAAGATAAAAAAAAGTTTTGTATGCATCTGACCATAGTTGACAGAAGTTTTGTGCCAGTGGTTGAAATTAGTGTGGACCTAGTGTTTGTTCCTCTTCGTTATGAGGCGGCACGCAACTAAATTCACCAATTAGGCAGCGCTAGCAAACCTGCTAGGTTTGCGCTAGTTTTTTCACATCCATGTTCAAAGATATTTTTAATGTGTTCTTGGCTACCTGTTATTTCAACATGAAGAAAAGTTCGGATGCAACACTGAGCGCCTTAAACTTAAGGATGTCTTAGTGAATTTCTGTGCTATTCAACCATTTTCCTTTAATTTTTGAGGTTGTTGTTCAATTGTGCGAATCTGTACGTAATTTTACCCGCTAGATCCCCGCTAGCAATGCGCTAGCAAGAGTTGCAAAAAGCGGCTTTGGCTGACCCGCGACCCAGTCGCCGCCAGAGATGTAGTTTATCCTTTCTGCTTGAAAAAAGCAACAGTGACAGCAAAGGCAACGACAAGCCTTGCAGCGGATGAGCATTTGTAGTTCCATGACTCATCACTAGCTCCATACAGACGCGCCTTAGCATTTCCTGCAGGTTTTAGCTGAGGTTTCAATCATGGAAGATAAAATGCAGGGTTTCAGACATTTTCAGACTATTTAGACAAAACATAGTTTTTAAGACCAAACAAAAAGCGGCACGCAAGGAATTACAATTTATTAACCAAACCGGGAAAAGACATTTTGGCAAACCGCCATTCGTGTCTAGAATTCGATAAAGCTTCTCCGTGCAAAAGCTTTCTGCGTGCAACGGTTATTGTGTATAAGAGGTTCTCTTTGACAGTAAGAGCTTTCTGTTGTACAGAAGAGCGAACATGGGTTAAGAAGAGCTTCGGTGAGATGAGAAAGGTTAAGCAGTGCCTAGATGAGATGAAAATAGTTGAGAAGAACTTAGATGACATATGAGATGAGAATGATGAGAGATGAGGTGAGAAGAGGTCAGATGAGATGAGATGAGATGAGATGAAGTGCGGAGTGTGAAGTGTGGAGTTTCAAGTGTGACATTTGGAACAGCGCACCACTTTCGCACAAAGCATGCACACGGGCCTGGATGGCGCAACGGCGGACACAAGTTACAAAGTTCTATAGGTGAAAAAGGTCTTATAGTACATCCCTAAGGCACCCCCTCGTGCAGGTACTACTGGCACATTATGCAAGCCCCTTTTAACCAGACAGCATCATGGGAGCAATAAAAAAGCATGGCTCCTTCACCTTAGAATGTGTCGCAGCACAAGCAGCTGAGGGCGGGGCGAGCTTCCCCGAGAGCAAGTGAAGTGAAGGTATCAAACTGCTTGGATGAGCATCCCAACACGCTAAGTTGTCAATAAGCAGTCAAAAACTGTGGTTCATTTGATATCCCATTTGTGAAATTGGCTGTAGGAAAATTATGGAAAATTACTTCTTGGCCACGTCCCAAGAAGGATGCACGTCCACATAGTGAGTGTAGTTTCTTTTATGCTCAGGCAGCAAGTGACTCAGCCAGAGACTCTAGGTTCTTCAATGTCCATCCTAACAATGGATACGAAATACCAGCAGGTTAATGATGCCAACACATTTTCTTGGATATTTTGGGGGGCACAGATGGCCCCCCAACACATGTTTTTGGCAAGATTTGCCAACGGTTAAATCCCAATGGCTTGCCACAGGGTTTCTGATTGATCTGACTTCAAACTTGGCCATGCACAGATGGAACCGCCGCAAAATGCCCAGCTGGGAGCGGGCAGTGTTCGCAGTCTCACGAGGTGTCAAACATGTATGTGGCTGGGGTTTTGTAATGTACTTGGGATGATTGCTTGACAGTTAATAACTAATAGTTTGGGTATAAATTGATATCAACAGCCAGGTATGTATGACTTTATTTTTTCTGCATTGATGATTTACACTGACTGTGTGATTGAATGGGCTGAAACAGTACAGTCTAACTAACCTTTTAAATCTTTCAAGTTCTAAGTACTAAGTGGGACTAGCACCGCACTTCACCCAGTCATATCAGGAAGACTGCAGCCTGCTAATGGTGAATCCTATGGTGCTTACATGACACGTTGCCACAGTTTTATTTTCGAAATGTTCATGTCAAATCAGTGCTGACTCCTTCTCTGAGAGTGCCGTTTTCACTAAGTTTTTGAAACATGCGTTGTTTGACAGGTTCAAAACAGTAAATATGTAGACATCAAATATCATGTAAGAGAGAGAGTTATACATTGACATGTAATATATTGTAATAACAATCAAATATCATGTTATACATTGACAGAGTTATACAATCAAATATCATGTAATATCCCAAAGAATTGGCCAGCAACTTTGCGAGTTGGGTTTGTCTGAAGTTCTGATAGCGCCGGCGCCACGGTCACGAGGCCCTGACCGGGGAGCTGCTGCCATTGCTGGAGAAGGTGCCCCCCCAATCTGCAGGGCGCCGTATCAGCATCATAATACCAGTAAATGATGGCCAACACATTAAATAACACATAGTGATAGCCAACGATAGTATATTAGTCATATATAGTGTTGAGAATACATACATGCAGTGTATATGTAATTATCGATATATGTGATTATATTTTTATTTACTAACTATACACATATATATATATATACACACACATATATACATATATATATATGTATACACCAATAAATGATAGTTTGGTATACCTACTAGTGATATACCATAGCTGATGATTATGGTTAATGATAATGAAAGCCAATAGTTGGCTAGGAAAATGTAAAAATCATCACCAGTAATGGCATCATTACAGTGGTAGATGCCCTCTGTTTATTTACTATAGCTATGGAACACCACCATGTTTCTATAATAGGTAAATCATCATAGATCATCTATAAACAGACGGTTTTCCATAGCAATGAAATAACCAGAGGATAATGATGATGATAATCAATAAATACTAGCTAATAATATATCATAATAATTAGCCATCAATCATAATATCATCAGCGAAGCAATCACCATCAACATATGACATGTAATCATGTAATGATAGATATAGTTAACCACAGTTTATGATATGCAACGGCAACCATCAAAAATGTATTACTGATACTGCAATTGATAGATTGATTTTTGGTTGATGGTTGATTGAAGACGATGACTACGATCAGGATTATGATGATAATTATTGTGATTATGATAGTGGCTATTATCACCTCATTATCATTACTATAATAATTATGATTGTCACTACTATGATGTGATTATCATGAAAATGGTCATAGTTATTATTGATGATAATAATGCATCACGACTATGTCCATAGTTAAGCCCGAGGCGCCTTCCGCTCGGGTGGTGGTGGTGTCCAGCACAGCCCACCTGGGAGCTAACAAAGAACTCATGGAAGGCGGCGCTCGGGCCAGTGCAATGTGGGTCAAGAGATGCCAAGAAGTATTTTGTTTTTTCTGCAATGTGGTTCTTTTGTATTTGAAGAAAATAACAAGAGAGAGAGAGAGAGAAAGAGTGCTTGGTTTTGTCAAAAAAAAAGAATTTACCAGCTGTAGACTCACATAATTAGAGGCTGGGAAAATGATCCACAAAATATGTTGAGTTTAGCAGCCTGGGCGTCAACGGCTGTGTCAACCGGTTGCTAAAAAAAAACCACCTCCCGCACGTAATTCGGAGATGTTCCAGAAATTTTCACATTTACCGCAGAATGTGTACGGCTCAATTTAGGCTACAGCTCACCACATAGATATGCAGTATACATACTTATATAAATATATACCATACATAAATATATCTATACACATAAAACAAATTATACACATAATATTTATATATACTATTTAAATTCCAATATATAGAAACATACGCATATTTCCATGTATTGAGCTCGAAAGCTCACAGCATTTGACGTTGAACCGCACCTTCAGGAGACCTGATGGCTCCGGAACGCTACACCCAATGGGGCGCCGTGGGCGCCGGGGAAGTATGGGGCGCATGACATTTGGAAAAGGCCAATGTCATACATACGGATATTTAACCGACAAATATATAGGCCTTAGGTATATGTAGTTAATTGGGATAATTTGTTAACCAACACTGGCCAAGATCTACATACAGAATTCGATATAGGATGTAGGGAGATTTAGTAATAATTTGACCAACAAACACTGGGATATCAATGGTCATCATAGAGAGACAATGAGAGACATGGGTATCATATGATTTCATACTTGGTGGTATATTTGCGCAGGGTATCGTTGGGATTTAACGTTCAATCAAGACAGACTTGCCATCAATAACCGGTAATTATATTTGTGGATATTATCCGGTTATTCACCGACATATAATCATCTGAAATCGCGGATCATCACCAATGCGGCAAGTCCGTTTTTAAGCCATACTCATCCATACCCCTAATATATTTGCTGTACCACATTAAACAATATTGCGAGGTGACATGGCCAGGAAAAGTGGTGCAAAAAATGGTGCCAATACTTTGGTTTACAATATCATCCAATCAGCAACAGGAAGCGGCTTCCATTTTTTGATATCAGCATTTTCAGCATGTCGGAGATGAGCTGAAACCACCAACCAGATTGGATTCAATTTCCATGCGGTACAGTACCATGAAATGGTAAGGGACGTTCAAGTTCTGTGTTTGAAAAAGGACAAACCGTATCCCTCATGTAGCCTGATTTGCTGCAGTTGGCTGTAGAAGCACAATGTTGTATTGCACAGCTATATATATATACACATATATATATACATATATATATATATACACATATATATATAACTGTATGCTTATACATACTTATAAATAGAAACATTGAGTTTTATACAGCTATATAAAGGTTTATATGGTTATACAATATATATATATGTACTTATATGTACTATATAGGTGTTTCATATCCTCGCAGTATAAACATCATCAAGCCCAGCTGCACTTTACAAGTAGTCACTGGGACCTTTTGCCTCTTCCCTGACACAAGTTGTAAATACTTTATTTGATGTTTGTCAATAGAACTTCAATTGCTCCTACCCCACTGGCATTCCAATAAGATGCTTGGCATTGCTTGGAATGTTCCAATTGGCTGGCGGAATTCAGGTGCATACTGCCAGTCCAAGTTGGCCAACGTTCTTTTTGCGAAGGAGCTGAACCGAAGGTTTCAGGAGGTGCAGCCAGTGCCAAGCTGTGTGTTTTAATTGGAAAGCTTGGACGCCAAAAGCGAAGGGACCATCCCATATCTTACCCTCAACATGTCTGTCAAGGCAAGGGAACCAGAATATGCTGAACTTCAGGGCGCTGAAATGCGCGTTGCCGCCGTAGCATTTTGGATCTCATGACCCAAACCTGAATCTTTGGAGAGGATCCAGGAGGACTTCCGGAGAGCCATGGCAGGCATTGCTTTGGAGGTTGCCTCCTCTCAGCGCCCACAGATGGACGAAAACGCCGATGAGCTCGGGGAGACCCCCATGACAGAGGTGGAATCCATGACAGAGGTGGAATCGCTGATGACGCCAGTTCGATCATATTATGACAATGACAAGGAGGTGCCAAAAACAAGTGGAGATGAGTTGGGAGGAAATGTTTGACATGCATTCTGACACACATCCTGGTATGTATAATATATATATGTGTGTGTGTGTTTGTTTGTCTATTTGTCTATCTAT